TGTAAGGGCACGCCTGCGCTCTTCCAGCGTACTCACTGTGCCTTGATGAAGTAATGAATGCCAACAATGATCGCGCCGCCATGAAGCAAATGTGTCAGAGGATCACAAAAAAACAAGAAAATAATACAAAAATATTGTCAATATGATGGATAAAGTGAACACACATACACACACACATATAGACATAAGCACTTTCTTGCTTTTGGTCAAAGTAAAATAGAAAAATATATCTAACAAATTTATTGCCGCCTATCGAAAATTCTGTCAATGGAAGATTGAATGGGCGACTGCGTGGCTGTCTGCATACAAACATACATACATACATATGCAGAGTTGTATATGTATATGTGGCTAACATTGTGCACGTAGTGTTGGTTTTACAATTTAATTTCTTCGAAATGTTTATCAGTCAATTATATTGGTTGCTTATGTTCGAGTGGCGGATTAGCTAGGTTTGTCTGAAAGGGTGTTTTTTTTAGATATGTGATTTTCAAAAAAACAAAAAAAAAACACACATATAACTTTATGTTATGACCAGAAATGAAGCTTTATAATAAGTATAAGGATTTGCTATTATGTTTAAAAAATGACTTCAGGCAAGTGACACCGCGACTGGCTCGAATATTTTCCACGCGAGAGGCCGAATTTTCAACCGATTTTCGCAGCAATTGAGGCATATGTCAGCAATATCTCGAGGAATAATCATTTTCAAGGCTTTAATTGACTCAGGTTTTTCTGCGTAGACTACCGACGTCACATAACCCTGCAAAAAATAGTCAAGCGTTGTTAGACTACACGATCTTGGAGGCCACGTTATAGGCCCACAACGCGGGATAATGCACTCAGCAAAAGTCTCTTTCAATATATATTTTCGTTAGCTGTATACAGCGCCGTCTTGTTGGGACGAAACTTCATTCACATCAACAGCCTCCAATTCAGGCACGACAAAGTCATTAATCCTGGTTCTTTAGCGTTTCCTATTGACTTTAACATTATGACCGGTTTCATTTTATAAGAAATGTGGACTAGTGATTTCCTCCACCCATCGAGCACAGCCAAACATGTCGTTTGAAGGACGTAACGTCGTCTCAACAATGGCTTGTGCGAGAATGGACTCGTTCGGAGCTTCTTGAATGTCCAGCGGAATTCGTTGTGCTGCACTCCATGCAAAAATAGTAATTAGGTCATCTTCACTTTCAATGTCAGCTGGTAATAAATGTGATTATTTAACTGCCAAGATCTCCCGTTGGATACGTGGTTTTAATAGGAAGTTGCTTTGTGCGGAGGACACGCATCAATCTTAACAGTAAATTTCAAAAAAAAAAAGAAAAAAAAAAACGTTGTTAAATGGAGCAAGTTTCCCCGCAAGCTGCCTTCTCTTCTGACTAGAGACGCAAACAAGAAAAAGAGGAATAGTCTTTATTCTTTATCCATAGCACTTAGAGTCGGTCGAAATATACATGTAATCCTTGGTAGCCTCTCACTTTATTGTGCAGCTATCAGTACCCTATTTCCTGACTGGAAAGATGGGGAATGTAGGATTTTTTTCGCGTGAAGCTTAATTAGAGCCCTCATTCGGCCTGACGGATCACTGCAATGTGTTCCATGATGGAACTTCAGCTATCGTAGAAGTCCCAATATGGAGTCCCATAGATTGGTCGTGATGAATTCTAAAATAATGCTGGAATATCCCAGATCTGTTCAGGAGATGGTAAAGCGTAGAGACTATTCCTCGTTCTCTCGTTTACGTCTCTAGTCAAAAAGACAAAGAAGGCAGCTTGCGGGGAAACTTGCTCGATATGGTACAACAGTTATGTCATAGGGTGGGAACATCCACTGTTACTTAAGAAATTCAATTATAGATACACCGCATCAAGCTGAAAACAAAACTTTTTTCCTCTGATAAGGGATGACATTTCAAAGGTAATTAAGATCCTTAAGGCTTTATAGAATGGCAGTGTCAAGGTGGGAAAAAACCTTTTCCTGTGGCAAGTGGCCGGACCAGTATCCAAATTCGTAAAAAAAAAAATAATAATTTCAAACAAATTTATAACTAGAGTTGCCTTTTGGCAGGGAATCTCGATCCCTCCGATTATATTTCCGACATGAAAGGGAAGCCCTCAGTCCTTCGGAGGCGTTTGGAAAAAACAAGGCGCACGCCACAACTTAGAGGACAAATTCGATTTTATAAAATGTGCCTTTTAAAGAAGAAACCTCAAAAGAATAGAGCTGATTAGATTGCAAGAATTATCTATGCTATCGAGTTAATCCGATGCGTAGAACCGACTGAGAAGAGAGATGTATGATATTTTCAATAACGCAATCGCACTTAACGCCATAAACATCCGAATAAAAATCTAAAAACATCCCTGAGCGGAAACTTTCCCGGTAGTACTGAACTCGCCACTGAGTAATTCCATTCAGTGTTACTATAGAACATAGAGGACTCTTCATTCCTACCGGGCTTGAAGAGGTAGACTGTGAACTACCTGAGTGATCGATAGTTCTCCGTAACATTAAACTAGGGGTTCTGCAGGGTGGTGTCTTCTCTCGCTTTTATTTCATTTTTTACATTTTGAAGTTCCTTCCCCCATCAGACGGCATTTCTTTGATCTCAAATACCGATGACTTCTCTATATTAGCGTCTAGCCGGGACATTGATAACTTATGTTAGAAAGGGAACTGCTATTTCGCTTCTTCACTGTAAGACTATAACAAACTCCAAGCACCAGCTGGACAAAGGACTACCGGCTCGAACTCGAGGTGAAAGTGCACTACTTCACTCCACATACGACGGCAATTGCTGCCTTAATACAGAACTGCAACAAAATCCTCATATCGTTAGCCGGCAGCGGCTGGGGTAAAAATAAAGAAGCGTACAAGGAGGCAACATACAAGGCAATTGGCTGGTTGCTCTAATTTGGACGACGTGGACTAGCGAGCCACGAAAGCAGAAGTTACAAGCCTTCCCGTGAACGGCAAACTCGGAGATAAAGCACTACCTGTCGCAGAAAACGAGCTCGAGCTGCCTCGAGAGACCCGCGTGCCACTGCCTCAACTTAGGACTGGATACTGTAGCAAGTTAAACTCCTACCAATCCAGACTCGACTCCAACATGTACAACGTATGTCCGGCGTGTGGAGAGTCTCCGCACGACATACCAACTACCTCTTTACATGTCCCCTAAGTGGACACATCTAGCCCCCCTCTCCTTCTGGACCGATCCTGTCGAAACAGCACATTTTCTGGACCTCCCGTCGGTGACTCAGATTGAGTTTAAACCCGTTCCTAAGCGGGGTTAACGTAGCTGCTGCAGCAGCAACAATCGTCCTAAGGACTGTAATGCAACCTATGCTTCAATCATACATTGAAGTATCTGTGCTCCACATTAAGAAGCATAATATGATGTTGTGTAAGCCATATTTTTGGGAACATCCAAATAGACATTAACTAGAAGCTAATTGTCCACCCAGACGAATCAGGAAGAGAGTACTAGACTATGTCGAATACATTCAGCACAACCACAAACAGGCTGTAACCGCCTTTACCCAAGTTTCTGATAGCACTTTCATGTACTTTCTTGCTGTTAGACCAAGAGCTCGAGCTGCCTCGCAAGACTCGGGTACGTGAGTAATATTGGCAAAGTTAAGATCTGGATATAGCAGACGACTTAATTTCTATCTATTCAGACTTGACCCCGACATACCCTGTGTATGTGCCGAATGTAATGAGACATTAACCATCACTTGGCGTGCCCCTCAAGGGCACTGTTTTTTTACTCTGTACCAAAGGAACATTCTAATTGGTGCATACGAAATTTCAAAAGAGTTATGAAACAAACTTGCTGCACAGAGACACGACACATACGTGTACATATGTGTGTCCACATGACACTTAGCCAATTTTGAATATTCAGTAACATATCCAAGTTAGTCATTCAGAGCATAACAAACAACAAAGGATATATTTTATACTCCTATTTGCAAAAGGGTTGAAGGAATGGACCTCTTTTTCACTTCCCATATTTAATGTTTGTTTTATTTTTATTTCTCTCTTTTGCATACAAAGCTCTGTTATCAGAATGGTTATCATTGGCATTGGCATAAACCCTTTTTTTTTGCAAACTACACGCAACAATGCAGGAAATGCCACTGATCTCCGACACTATATTACCGCAAGAGGGCAGCTGTGCCAAGTTTGAGTTTGTTAAAGCAGCATACATACATAAGCACATGCATACATATCTTGATAAATACATATATACATACATATATTCGAGCATGTGTACAATCTTACGTACATATATGCTATGTTGCACATTCGTATGTATGTATGCATTTATGCTCTTTTTCGCATTTCCCCATTTATTCACCCAAACCACAGCTGCAGTTCTTGCGCCTCAGCTTTGGCTTTCTCTTTACTTCTGCTTTCCATAGGCTTGATGATTATAAGACAAAACTTCATATTTATTTATTTTGCTTTTACTATATACGAATTTGTATGCATAAAAAACTTATTTGAAAATATGGCGAAAAAAATTTTTTTTTCTTTATTCGCACGACTTGCCACTTGCCTTAATTCTAAGCGATCTATAAAAGGCGCCGCTTTGGAGCTACAAAAGTTTTTAATTTCACTTCGTGTTGAGAATATTTTAGTTATACTCATCATAAGCTTTGGATTTGTGACAATTAAATGTGGAATTTTCTAGTTTCTAAATAATAATTTATATCCCAGCGAACTTTTTTTTGTAACTTTGTTCAATATTCGAAATGAACCAAAGGTTTCAGATTTTTTTTTAATTTTGAAAAAGCTTAATTTACTAATATACAAATTGCATGTACATACACACATAGGTACGTTTCCAACTTTGGTGGTTGAACTACGGTATGACCTTAAGATATTACTAACTTGTAAACGATTTTATAATGAAATGATTGACTTACCTTTCCAAAAAACAACAACAAATTTTAAATTTTTATATTAACATACTCCTACTATTTGGTGCGCATGCTCAGCAGATAATAATTTAGTGTTTGTTTCTTGATTTATTCATTCAACAGTGCTAATTTCGGTATTTGCTAACATTTAATATGTAAAATGTATTTCTTATGTTACATCGCATTCTACTTTCTTATATATTGAATTCACTTTTTGGCTGCAGGATCCTTCATTAATGTAAAATCATGCACAACACCATTTAAAGAGCCTTGTTGATGTACAATTGGTGGAAAGAATTCCCAACCTTCTTCTTTTGACAGTTTCTTCACGGCACCAGCGATACCTTTTTAAAAAGTGAATCAAGGGAAAATGAATAAAAAGCAAAACATAAATTAACTAAAGAACATACCAAAGAATAAGCCAGCTACAAGACCGGCAACATGATTACGCCTCCAGGCACCGTACACTGCACCCGCCGCAAAGCCGCCAATGACATAGTTTAATCTGAAATATAATAAAATTGTTAATTATTTGCTATTGAATATACTTTGTACAGGAGCTGCCGCCACTTACTTGTCATCTTTGCCACGCGCATTTGTGGACACTAATGTTGCCAAAGTGAATGCAGTAGCCATACCCATCATCGGGCCTGTATTGTAAGCGAATCGCGCTAATGTTGGCAAATAACCCTGTGGCTTGGACAACATCAACACATCGCAAGTGGACCAAGCGAGACCGGTGCCGATGGCGATTTTGTTGGTTGCCACAATTTTACCAAATGCATCTTGTCCTTCCGGGTAATCGTAGTATTGTGATTTAAGAAAAGACATTGTGAATGCTTGAAGAAATAAATTAAATGATATTACGAGTTAATAAATTGGAAACATAAGTTTTGTTTTTGTAATCTGCAACGTTTTGAAAGCGAGCTAATTCCATTTGTTTATATGTACACATATCGTCAAAATGTATGTAAATTGTAATTTGCACTTTGTAATTATTAACACCGATTTATACTGCTCTGTTGTATTTTTATATTAAAATATTTAAACAAATATATAATTTACTTACAATTTTACGTAATTTCACACACCAAAACAGACCGAATTTGACAAAAAGGCAAAGATGACACTCAGTCAGCTGTTGCTGATGGGAAATCAGTGTGGCCACACATTTGTAACGTCAATAAATTTAAGTAGAGGTTTCAAAAGGGTCTACAGGGTGGCACTTATTTAATAGTTGATTTAAAGTTAAAACTAATAATAAATTTAAATCTTATTTTGGTTCCTAGTATTTTTAATGGCTGTTGTACAGTAAAAATTGTGTAATGGGCACAGCTGATTAATAAAAGTTTTAAGGCAACTTAAACTTCATACATTCGTAAGCAATTATTACAAAAGCTCTCAAACTGTAGTAGAACTCAATCTCATGAGCTCTCACATTAACTTTTAACGACTATAAAACGTTATGTTGTCCGTTTGCTATTAAAATCGTAAAACTTGAGAGTTTCCGATAAAAAAAATTACAGCTTCCAAGAAGTATAACACAAATATTCAAATCTTCGTTACACAAATATGCGAATATGGTGAGATGAATTTATTTGTTTGCATAATTTCCTTATCAATGAAAGTCGAAAGAATTATTACACAATATATAATTCTTTTAATTAAAAAAACAAGTATTGAGCTTCATTTAATGTTACTAATTCTACTTTATTTGGCTTTTTAAATCCCAATATTTTCAAAACTCACACAGTTTGGGGACATATCATTTATTGATAATACGTTATGTTATTAAAAGATTTTTGAAATTAATACATACACATGTTTCAATACATATATAATTATATTAAATTAGCCATTTTTAGAAGCTATAAATGTGTGTTTCATTTTATTTTACACAATGAAGACTAGTTTTACGTTCATATTTCTTATACAATATTTAAAATTGAATTTAAATTAAGTAATGAAACTCAATCGTATGTATGATTTAAAAAAAAATATACTCCGCAACATTTTTGTGAGAATATATTAAACGAAAAAATTAAATTTGTTTAATAATAATATTTGGCATACAAATTATTTTGAGCATACACATATACGAGCAAATACATAAAGCACATATGTAAATAATTAAAAAAATAATGTAAAATATAGAATTAATAAAGTTAGTCAGAAAAATGCATTTTTATAAAACAAATATACATAAATAAGAAAAGAGAGACAGAGAGGAACGATATTAGGTATTATTGACAACAGAGTTTCCATACAACGGAAGTACAAGTTCTTCTTCATTTTCTTCTTAACATTTACACAATAAGTAAATTTACATTAGTATTATACGTATCGTATATACATAATTCCGTTATTTTTAACGTTACTTTTGCTTACGCAAACACTAATTCAGTCATTATGTAAATTTTACGGTCTTTGCATAAATTACTCCCTGATTTCGTAATATCAACTGCTTGAAAATTGTTTTTTGAATTGTCGAATGGTTTTTCGGACAAGTTCTTTTACGATTTTGAATAGTTTTTAACGGGAGTTATGCAATGCGCCATTTTCTATTGTTTTTCTTCCTTTATTTCTCATCATCGCCAATTATCTCGATATCATCAGCCAAGGGACTTTCGATTTCTGATTCATTTTTCTCATCACTATTATTTGCATCCAAATTAATTAGCGATAATGTCATTTTACTGCTAAGCACAACCTGAAAATTTACATGTAATTAAATTAATGTAGAAAATAAGGGATATTTCCAAAAATTCTTACCGCTGGCTCTTCCAGAGAACCATTGAATTCTTTGTCGTAAACTTCTTCTGTTTTCGTTTCCGAATCGGCGACCAAAATTTGTGAATCGTGTGCCAAGGCACCCTCCAAATAAATGGATTGAGGTTCCGGCTTGTCATCCTCATCTTTGTGATTGGACTGAATAGTGCAAAAGAAAAAAAATTAAGAAAAAAACAATTAACTAATAAACATCAGTGCAAATTGGTTAAAATGTGTGAAAAATGCTTGTGCTAAATTAAAAAAAAATGTAAAAACTTCAAGTAAATCATATATAAATTTTGTTCTTGGAATTTTGGCGTGAATAGCAATGTTAGTAATATTTTGTACGTTTATATCATATTGGTCTTTGCCATTTGTGTTTGTATATTTATAGTTGAATGTAAGTCAGCCAGATGCACTTACATGTTCATGGTGTGAAAAGAAAACAGGCGTTGGAGGGCGTCCTGTCCATTTTTGGCCACCCTCACAACTTGCTGTTACCTCCATTCCAAGAACCTAAATTATTAGAAAAAAATTAAATAAGTGAAACAATAAAAGTATTAAATTAATAAAACTAGTAAAAATTAAACACCTAAATGCAAAAATACAACTGAAGTGTAGATATTTTAATTTGAAATAAATTAATTAAAATTACAAAAATAATTGTGACAACTAATATTTGTAAAACTATTGTACTAAGTTAATTCAGCAGTGGAATTTTTCTTAATATTATACAAAAAAAAATATGTATTTACCGCCACTGATCGATCAACACTGCCATCTCGTTTCTTTCGTTGTTGGTTATCCTTTTCTGTCGGACCATCAATGCTTTTACTAATCGGACTCTGCACTTCCTGCTCTTGCTCGCCAGCCGCACTAGAGGGGGTTTCACTATCAACTCCGTTTTTCCGTTCGCTTTTAACTTGATTTATGTTGTTATCGTCATTATGTTGCTCTTGTTCATGCTCAGCCTTTGTATGCCCATTGGAAATGTCTCCAAAGTTCGATGTCGAAGTTTCGCTTGGTTTCTGAGTGTCCACGGGAAAGTGTGGGAGTGAAAAAAAATGAAATTTTATTTTGTTGTTTTGCTTCTTATTTTACATAATTATTTGTTATATTTATATTTTTTGGCATAAGCAAATTAAATTAGATGTAAAATTTTTAGGTTATCTTCTTGTGTTTAATTAGTTCATAAATAACGTGCTTTAACTATTTAAAATTTGTTAAAATTATTACATCAAATAAAGAACAGTAAATAAAAAATTATTAAAACACACATACGCACACATAAATTTATGAGTTAATAACGCAAATAAAAGAGTAAAAGTTTAGAAATTTCCAAAAAGTTTGGTTAGAAAATATGGAAAATCACAGTTACGTAGGCACTTGTACGTTTAATATCTGACTTTATTTAGCTAATGGTAAGCTTTGAGTACGATTTGAGCGTAACGAACAACAGTGAAATAATGGTAAGAGTGCATATAGTGTAGGCGGGGCTAACCTTAGGTGTATCTGATGTCGCATTATTCTCTCGTAATTTTATTTGCTCGTCGGCAGCATCAATTAGACCTTGAATTGCTGTCACAACTAAACGTTTCGGAATTGTTTACAATCAATATTTTTTTTTTTTTCGTTTCCAAATTATTGATTTTTTTATGCGATTCGTTTTGTTTTCAATTTCAACAGGGTTCGTACACGCACACAATATGGAATAAATGATAAATACAATTTTTCTATTAAATTTTGTCGATAGAGAACATACAAATATAAGTTATTGTATGCAATAATACAATAATAATTTCAATATGAATAACGGTTATTTTTTAAATTTTTTCAATGATTTATGATGAGAAGCAGTGATAATTTTCGCAAATACTCTAAATATACCAAAGAGTGGTCTAGATTAAAGATAGAAAGTTTTGTGTTCAAAAGAATATAATAGTTTATGAAATCAATTTCGAAATCAAAGTAGTATGTATACATGTATAGGTAAAATTAGATATCATTTAAAATATGTCCTCTTTTGATTGGTTGTGTCTTTTTCTTAACTCAATTTAGATCACAATGAAGTTATATATTTTTGTTGTTTCTTTTCTTTTCAATATTTGTGAAAATCGTTTAATTTAAGCTTTATTTAGATATACAAGTTAGTATTTATTTTCGAGAAACATGCATTTACTGTATTTATTTGTGCTGTGTAGGGGATACAACATGCTTTACGTTGTTAGCATTTATTTAGGGTGTGAAGGAAACGTAAGTTATACAAGTGACTTTGCAAGACAAGACGAATCGTGAGGAGGCGAAACGAAAATGGCCACCAGATGTTACATTTGGGAAAGAGAGAAAACTTTGTAAGCCTTTTTTGTACATTTTTAAGTAAGAAAATGCGTAGGAGCCATCATGCCATGTTTTATATATTTTTTTTTTTGCCAAATAATTGTTTGCTAAACTGTTGGCTACTCTACAATTTTCGAAACCTCAAGGGGGGATGCATGACATGTAAATCATATGCTTTCGTTTGAAATTACGCATTTTTTAATAAAATAAAATTAATTATTATTGATATGTACTTAGTTTGAGGTGATTTGCGCTTGAGTTGATTTTATTTTTTTAATTAGACGATTGTGGATTTTGACTTGATTTGATTTTGTTGTTAACGTTTTCTAATGTGCCTTACGCTTTATAAATTGTATGGCGATCATCTTGTATTCGTGAACGAAAACGCCAATTGTACCAATAAAAAAATAAACATTAATAAAAAATTATTTATCAAAATAAATTGATATCGAAAATATAAAAAAATAATCGTAATTAAATTAATAATTATTTTTCTAATGAAATCAATTTCAATATGTACAGTGAAAAATAAAAGTATTTTTTATATCAGGAATATGAATTTGCAAGCGTAATATTCGCTGAAGTTTAAAACACAGCCTAATCGGCTTTATTTATTTTAAAAATGACGACGCATGAAACAAGCTTGTGGCCAGACTTTAAAGTTTGAGAGCCACTTTGTTGTGGTTAGCGCTAAGATAATTACAAAGAAATTGCTGCATATTTCGCACTTCGTATTTTTAGTGATAAATATTTATGGAGGCGAAATAGTAAACTTCAGCAAATATTATGCAATTAATCTTCCAGTGAAAAGAAATAAATCTGAAAAACTATAAGTTAATATTGCCCAATTCTTTTATGTATGTATGTATGCACGCTAATTGTGTGGAGAACCATTTTATTATAACACCTTACGTATTTTTATTATAAAATGTTTAAATTTGTTTGTTTTCTTTTTTTTTGGGTTCGTCTATCTAACCTTAGCTTCGTATTGATCTGAATTCATTTCGGCGATCAACTTGGCCATCGCCTTTTCGGTATCCTCAAGTTTTTTGCGTAACTTCTCAATTTCCATTAATTGTTCGGTTTCCTTGTTGAATCCAGCCGTCAAATTACCACCGAAAGCGCTGGCAGTTGGTATGCCATGGCTGTGTTGTTTCAGTTGTGTAGAAAGAATTGAAGCTGCAGAAGCAGTTGCCAAACTGGCATTGTAAAGTTCACTACCATTCCCAGCACTCGCACCAACACCACCACCACAACTGCCGCTGCTGTGTTCGTGTGGTCTCGACCCTAGAATGTTATTGGTTTTGGTATTTGGTTTCAGTGGGATTATACATACACAGCACGATTAAAAGAACACAACTACATTTTATTTAAATGATCTTAATGGAATTTATTATTTTATTTATTTATTTTTTTATTTATAACTTCAATTTTTTTTTTGTTAAATTCTAAGTAGATTAATACACAAAAATACATATTGACATATGTAAGTACTTAAAAACATTCAAAATGGGGAAACCAAAAAATATGTATGTATTTGTAGGGTTAAAATAACATAAATATTTGTGTTGTAAAAACATAAAAACTAAATACTGTTTGGCTTAGTATTCAGCTCACATGAAAAGCGTTAAGTTCATATGAAGTTGAAAAAACCTTAGTGACTACAAAATTTAATTGTGACAATTTACTAAGTAATTTATTAAATTTTCTTGCTAATATCTAATGGCACATGACTACATATTACCAGACAGCTTTCGCTAAGAAAATCATAATGACTCTATTACATTTTCATGAAGTGCAGCATTCATACTCTACATTTCATATTATTACAAAAGTTTATAACTTTTCAAGTTAAATCCGAATATTTTCTATGCAAAACTTTATGAAATTCTAATTTATTTGAAATGAAAGCACATTCATTTAATATTTCTTTTAATTGCAGTCTTCTTCTTCGACTTTATACAATTCACAATGCATAATCAATCGCTTAAGCTACTAATAAACTGAATACTAAGCCTAAGCTTGTCAATAATGGTTTGTAATAAATCAGTTATATTTTCTTATTGCCACGACATCAAATTATTTCACAAATAAAAATTATTGAATTTATTAGAAAATATGAATGACTAAAAATGTATTTTGTGTAAATGTGTAAATATGTTTGCAATAAATATATCAATGCATGTATATGTTTAGCATAAATTATTTATGCTTATATGTAATTGTGGCTCGTCAATTGAGGTTTTCTAATTTATTTACAGTTTTAAATAAATTTCTATCAGGGTTTCAGTATTTATTTGGATAAAAATAAACTTTTAATGAGTACTAGTATATTTTTGTAGGTACGCAGTCAAAAAAGTAGGACATATTTTAAAATGATTGTAGCAGATAATAAAAAGGCAAAAAATGATTTTACTTAAAAAGTTATATGAGTCACTTGATTCTACGAATGTATATCTAACTACACACATATATATGTATGTATGTAAGTAAATGTTTGCTGACAGTTTATACGTTAGATGGTCTTGTAATATTTCTTAAAATATATGCATTGAGTTGAAAAATTCCTCTTACTTGCTTGATGCTCTCGCCACCCTGATTTATGTTTTATTTTATATGACAAAAAAAAAATAAGCAAAATATAAATATGTATGTGGGCATGGCTACACAAAAAAACGTTTAGTGTTAAAAATTCCTTAAAATGGAAATTGGGATATGTAAGCTTCAAAATTAATAACTATTCAACCATTTAAAAACTAACTATTTTCTGTTCTTTTATTTATTCTTTATTATTTTTATATTTAAGTTAATTTTTTATTCTGTTTATGTATTAGAACCATGTGACTCCCATAGTATGCTATAAATGTATGTATCTATATATACATATGTATACCTGTAGTACGATAAGAAATCACGTGAGAGGTTAAAAAGGGAAGTGAGACGCACATATAATTGGCGCTTGGTAACCGCTGAAGCGATTTTCGGCCGAGCTTCTCTCTCCAATTTATGATTTCGCGTCTTGATGTTTTTCTAACAAATGCCGCATATGCAGTGGGCAAAAGTGATAGAGAGAGAGAGAGAGAAATGCGTGTGTAAAAAGCACTTGAACTTGCTATCCATCTCGCAAAGACCCGAAATTTCTGCGAAAAAATTTGTTTTGAGATTGCAGAAGAACCGAGAACCGAGAAAGTGTATCTTATGTTCAGAGCAAAGTGAGTATGTGTAGAGAACACTTCTCAAGCTTGCTTAGTTACTGGCTATGAAAATTAAACACTCGGAGATGGCAACCCGGAACCCTAATCGATTGACGTTCCATCTCTTAAATACCTATGATAGCGTTTACCCGCTTGAAAAAACAAAACGACGATAGCCCATGGCTTGCCAGCTGAATTATACATAAATTGCGGCAAATAATTGATTAGTTTTTATGAGAAGCTTTGCTTTTCATGTCAGAAATGCACTCAGATGACTGGACGTTCCCTGCCGAGGGACATGCGCAATTAGAAATATTAATTTTCTATTCTATTCTTATCCGACCTACATTAAGACTTGAATCCTGCCCTTATGGGTGCTAGTGCACACTGCTAACCACTCGGCTATTTCGAGAGCCATACAACTTATATGGCTGTTTAAGTCGGAACTTAGTAGCACGTGTCATCGGCACACTCACGTCTTGGCTCCAAAACACTTGATATTCTTAATGCCAAACACAACGTCAGCTTTCATATTTAACGCAGAATCACTAAAGCAAATTAATACTGATTAAGCAGAATTCTCGTTCTACCTCATTTTGCAGTTAGATTATGGATTATTATTCGTCGATGCGTCGACCTTAGAAGTTTCAAAAGTAATATTTTTCCGACGACGGCAAATACCACAGACAATGGGATAATGAGCTTTACACGGTACACCGCGACATTAATGTAGTACAACGCGTTAAGAGACACCGTCCACGCTGACTAAATCATGTAGTCGATTCAGTACATCCACGATATTGGGAAAGACATGTAGAGAAGAACCTGGCACCTTGTGAATCAGCGCCGATCTACGAAAAGAAGAAACGGTTGGTTCCTTTATAATTTAATAAGCCATGCCACCAAAAATTAATTAGAAGAAATTTCTTATTTTCATCTTATTTGGATATTAAAGGTGAAAATTGAATTTAAAACAGCGCTCCAGGACTATACTACAGGTATGTGAATGAAGATAGGAGTACGAGTTAATGGATATTGTTGACAAGAGTAAACCCTATATGAGTTAAACTTTACTGGTTAATAAAGTTTTAATGAACAGATTTTATCTGCAGAAATCCTACAAGAAACTTTATTTTGTAAGCGAAATGGGAAATAAATTAATTTTATAAACCAGATGATGTAAGGGCACTAGTATCCAGGACCAAAAGGAATTTCGTATACGGAAAACCACTTGTTGAATAGAATATCGACTACGAAAAAATAAATTACCAAAATCTACCGCAGCCGGCATAAAAATAGGAAAACGTATTTTGTCATTGTTTTATTTTTAATTTAATTTTTGTTTATTTTAATTTTAGTTTAGGTTATGGTCATGAAGTGTGAATATACACTAATACGGCAAAAAAATTCTCCTATGATCGCAATAAACTAAGCTATTTTGAACTCGGTAGTTTATTGTGAATGATCGCATCTACATTTGAAAATTGTGACCTAGACTTTTCCTTCATAATTCCTTTCATTGCGATTAATCAATAGTGATTTTCAAAAAAATATATTCTCTTATAAAAGTATTTAACATTTTAAATGTTTGTTAATGGCATTTAATATGCAAGACTCACCTATTTTGGAACCATTCAGTTCCTCGACATGTGTACCGTTTTCTTGTCCAAACACATCCTTTCTAAAATTGGGATCACTAGGCGTGGGACCATAGGGCGCATTCGTAGTAGGCTTCTTGAAAGCTATCTACAAAGTTGAAATAAATAATGTTTAGAAGACATCAGGCTTGGTGTTTCCTTTGAAATTTACTATTTTTGGTTATGGATATTCGGTAAGGAATCGTTGGAGGGATACCTTATTTTCCCCAAATATGAAATATTTCATTATATCGTTTCTTAACGCCAATCTTACCTTCATGATAGTATAACCGAAGAAGACTATTATGCCAATGGTGTAAAGTGGCATTATGAAGCCCATGCTATTGCCAGCACGTGCTTGAGGTTGATGCATTGAGCCGGCGCCCATGGGTGGACGCATACCAGGTATTGGACCAGGCTATAAAAAGAAAATTCAAAACATTTCAAAAGCCAAAATTACACATAACTACATACATATGTATATATATATAAATTTTATATGTACATATATTTATTAAAACATTAAACTACATACATACATATGTTTACAAAAATATTTGTATGCACATATGTACATATAAGCTGATATAATTAATCACTACTACCGTCTGCGTGATTGCAACGTAAATTAGTGTAAACATAAATTTTATGCATCGAAGGAAAATTAAACGAAATGATCTTGAAAGAGAAAGGCGAAAGCTAGAAAAAATATATAAAAAAACAGTGGTAATTTGGTAAAGGCAAAAGACTGCGTGATTTTTGACCGTGAATATTTGAATTTTCAAATTTCCACTCAGAGTGCATTGAAGATCTCCACGAACACATGTGCCAGATGCGTGAGCGTTGGCGCTAACATACATACCTACATATGTATGTACAAATTATTCATGAACTTCTGTATTTGAACTTGCTTGTGAATGTGGGTGGGCAATTTCGTATATTTATTTAAGCATATTAAAATACTACAAAAAAAACACAAAAAAAAAGAATTTTGAAGGCAACAGAAATTTTTAACCGGTTCTTAGTAATTTTTCGAGTGTCGCTAAAACATACAAACACTCATATATAAGAATATACATATATAAATCTACATATAATATGTAGAATGTGCAATATTCTAGAATCGGAGGCCGCATTACTAAAATTCAGGAGGACAGAGTTCAAGTCTTGGTGTGGTCAATATTCAAAAATTATATAAAATCAATTTTTCTGATTGTAGTTGCCCCTCGGCAGGGAATATCAAGCCCTCCGATTGTGTTTCTAGCATGAACTAAAAACTCCTAGAAAAATTGGAAGAGAAACTCGGCCGATAATCGCTTCAGCGATTACAAAGCGTCTATTATATTGTGGTTTCAAAAGTTCCAGACTGTATTTTGACATCTTGTAAACTTAACTTTCAAACAAAAAATGTTTTGTTCTAGTTAAAGGCATGTATTTATGACAAAAAATCGCTTAACAGCCGCACAACGTGTTAAAATTGTTAAAACCCACCACAAAAATGGTGATGCAAATGCGGCTACGACACGTTCTTTAAGTGGATGGATCGTCCAATTCCCCAATACTACATCGGTTACAGAAATTTCAAGGTAACTAAGTCATGTGCATCATCATTTTGTTCGTTCCACCTCAAAAAACGCTGCATTAAGTAAACGTGTCTTGGAATGTCAGCCCCTCCAACTGTACCTCTGTCATGAAATGAATGCTACTTATAAAAAACCATGAGCCTTTCGGCCCATCAGCTGTAAGTCCGTCCATTTAAAAAAAAAAAAAACATTAAGGCACACACCACGAATTGGAGGCGAAAGTCGATTCGGCGCTTACAAAGCGCCAATTACTAAAACGTGAAGCCGAATACTCGAATGTGTCTATGCCTTGACGTTTTCAAGCGCTGCGACTTTCTAGGCGGCACATTTTGAGGTGTTTTGTATTTGGACTACAACCTCTTTCAGCTATATCCATATAAGATCCAGCAACTAAAGCCAGCAGAACTTGCGTAGGACTTGGTGCTTGTACAACAAGCAGTGAACGGCGATTTTTCGAACAAAATTTTCTTCAGCGGCGAGTTACATTCTCACCCGGTGCTCCAAGAATCCACAAATAATTAAAAAAAATGGCCATTACACCCAAAATAAACTTACTGTCTAGTACACTCTTTGGTCCAGAGAAGTGATTAAACCTGTTCTGTTATAGATCGTGCGACCAACTTTTTTTTAGCCTACATTCGAAGAAGTCTTGGACAATATAGTGGTTTCAACAAGATGCTGCCACATACCACATAGCTCGAGCTAATATGGCTTAATTGCGATTTTTTCTGCCGGAAGACACCGTTGACAACGTTAAACTTGTTTTTGGTGGTTCAATCAAGCTTTATAATGAAAAAGGGATTTCATAAAAAAAAAATCTGAAGACATTTTATTTAGGTTTATTTTCGAAACCACAAAATGGATAATATAATAAATAATTTTTTTTCTGTATTTTATACAATATTAGCTTTTTGAGGTTAGGTCAGAAACGATGTAAATATGTGTGATTAATGCACTCTCTATTTCTTTGGAGATTTTTCGTAGGTGAATACCTTTTGGATGCCCAAAAAATTATTTTAAAATCAATTTCCTGCTAAAATCTTTGAGTACTCTTTGCGTTTATAACTAAGCCAGGAATGTTCCCGATTGGTGGCAGGGAAATAAAATTTACTTTTCATTTTAGGAAGTATTCAAGTTTACTTAACACTTTTCTACCGGGTTCGTCTACTTCAGTCACGTGTCTATAGGTTACCTGTACAAACATGGGCAACCCTAAATATACACATCAATGTAAATATTTTACAAGGAAAAGGTGAAGTTAAAAAATTAAAAATTAAAAATAAATAATGTTGGCAATGTTTCAAATAATTACACTCAAATATTTTCTTCAACAGATTTTCGAATAATTTACGATTTTAATTTGTCAACAATGGAAGACATAAACATTTGTAATGTCATTATGTATTAAATGTATGTATGTGAATATGTACTTAAAAGATAAGTGGCGCAAATTAATTTCATATTTAGAACGCAATTAAAAATTATATAAAATTAGTTTTACGTTCATAAATATATACATTTAAATACATGCATACATATACACGTATGTATTGTATGTAAATAAATAAATTTTATTTATCGTACAAATTTTTTTAATATATTTTTATAAAATAAAAATAAAAAAACATACATATATACACAGTGTGTCCTAAAAATAACCGAACTTTATATTTAAATCATACAACATACAGCGCCATCTATTGCAAATTTGCAACATTAAAAAGATACATTCATCCTTTTTCAAACGCAACTAACATCATGTAAGTCGGATGACAGATGTAAAAGTGACAGCCATTTCAATAAAACCAAAAGTGTGCTAATAGTTCAAAAATAAAATGGAGCAAAGAGCAAATATAAACTTTTGTGTCAAACTTGAAAAAAATTAATGAAAAAAGTTTATTGTGATGATTGTATGAGTCGTACGCAAGTTTATACGTGGTTTACACGATTTAAAAATGCTCGTGAAGATTTAAATGACGACCCTAGAGCAGGAAATCCAGAAACTAGTAATCGTGCTGAACTGGTGGAAAAAGTCCGTGACATCATTGGTGTCGATGCAAATTTTACTTCGAGAATTTTCGGCTAAGGAATTGAATACGAGTAAAAACACTATTTAAAGAATTTTAACTGAAGATTTGGCGAAAAAAAGGTCTGTGCGCGATTGGTTCCACATGAATTAAATGACGACCAAAATATCGCTCGAATTTTTAATGAAAAACAGGATTTCTCTCATCGATCATCCTCCGTATTCACCTGATATATCACCATGTGACTATTGTTTATTTCCAAAACTGAAAACCAAGATGAAGGGAGCATTTTATGATGATATCCCAGCCATTCAAGCAGCCGTAACCGAGGTACTGAAGAACATTTCTATAAATGACATAAAAAATCTATGCATGCGCTGGTTGATCGTTCCGAACTTTGTGTTGAGTAAAATGGAACCCATTTTGAATAAATAATAACTTTCAAAGATAATATAATGTCTATTTTATTTTATATTCAAAAAGCCCGGTTATTTCTGGTACACACCGTGTAAGTTGTCATAAAATAATGATTAAATTCGTGAAAGAATTATACTCACACGACCATCAACGATGCGTGGCGGTGGATTACTTGGTGATCCTTTGCGCTCTAAAATCGGCACTGTTGGTGTGGTTGCTGGTATCGCTCGTCCACGTTCACGCATAGCCTGATAGATGGATTCGGGATGCAAGTGCGCTGGACGTTCTTGCCGTAAGCCTGGATGAAAATCTATTATTGGTTGGTGATTGTAAATAAAAATTTTCAAATTAAGGATTTAATGCTGCAAGGCGAGTTTTGGAAATTTGGGTAATTAATGCAAGTAAAATGTATTGTTAAGAAATTTATAGATTAATAATTTGAAAAGAAAACATATTTACAAAAGTAGAATAAAAAATTTTATTAAATGAAATATAAGTAAATAAAATTATAATTTATTTATGCATTTCCGTAAATAAAAAATAGCACCTTTGACCACATTTGCTTTAACTAAGATAACAATCTTTTATATATAACGCTTGTACATATGTAAACATATATCTGGTCTAGTAAGGAGTAATCCATTAGTTTTGCATTAAATTTAAGGCTTCCTTTACTACAAGTCGAATTATCCGATTTATTTCAAACACGCACTGTTTTGCTCGAAACCCATGTCCATATTGGCAAAAAATTTGAGGCAATCCATTTTCACAGGCTTCTGTTGAGGCCAATTCTTCACCAGTAAAATAATTCCCCATAGACAGAAACGGCTGGTAAACACTTGGTGAGTGTAGATACACAAAAACCTCCCAACCAAGCTTTCAGAGCTTTCGGAGCGAGTCTCTATCGATATGTGTTTGGTCTGGCGTTATACTGATGAAAGACAATTCCTCTCCTGTTGGCCAAAGCTGGAGAGTTTCTGCTGCAATTGCTGATAGTAAAAGTCCGTAGCGGATCAACTCGGATGAGTTCGTAGTGAATTCCAGCAAACAGACAACAAAACCTTCCCTGGTTAGAGACCGGCTCACGGCCCATTTTCAGCACCAGTCAACATCTGCTTCAGAGAAAAATCGAATTTATTACGATTCAGCAGTGATTCGAAGATGGAAATTCGGCTAATTAAACTGTTTGCTCTTTAACTCATATGGGACAAATACAGCGAGCTTCTTTGTACTTCCAGCCTTTTTCAAGTGGTTCCAAACGGTAGCTTGTGCAATGTTTAGCTCCTGTAATCCAATAGCACATATAAAACGCCGGATACAGTTCACAGTCATGTATTGCAAAGGTAATTGATTGCTTTTTACTAGTCCTAATATGTTATTTTATTCTATAGTGTTTTTTTTTTTAATGTTTTTTTATTTTATTCTACTTAATTATTGATTTCTTTTAAAATAATTTTTTTAATTTTTTTAATTCATTTAATTTTGTTTTAATTTGTAATTTCCTTTTAATATTTTACTTATATTTTTTTTTTTGTATTTTATTTAATATAACTATTTTTTTGTTTTATTTCTTTTAACTTTATTTGATTTTCCATGTATTTAATTATTCTACATTTTACTCTACCTCATTTTATTTTCTTTTATTTTATTGGCTTTATTCAACTATATTCAATTTCGTTTATTTTAAGTTTATATTTTTTTGATTTGGTGCATTTTATTTTATTCCTTTGTATTGTGTTTCATTTCATTTTATTTCAATTAATTTAAATTAAGTTTTTCAAATTATTTTATCTTTATTTATTTATTGTTTTTTTGTTATATTTTATTTCATTATTTTTTGTTCTTTTACATACTGATTAATTTTTTATTTATTTAACTTAATTGAATTGCATTGTATTTATTTTTATTTTATTATATCCTATTTAGTTATGAATTATTTTATTTTGTTTTCATATACTTTAATTTATTATTATTTTTTTTATTCTATTTTTTTTTATATTATTTTATTTTGTTATACAATTTTATTATATAATATCTCACAATATTTTATTTTATTTAATATAATATTACATTATTTTATTTTATTTTATATTATTTTGTTTTATTTTTTGTTTTATTTAATTTCATTTCATATAATTTTATTTATTTCATTTTAGTTTGCTATTTCATTTTATTATATAATTTTTCAAAATATTTTATTTTATTTTACATTATTTTAATTTTTTTATTTTATTTTATTTAATTTCACATTATTTTATTTATTTCATTTTATTATATAATTTTTCACAATATTTTATTTTATTTCATTTCATATTATTTTATTTATTTTATTTTATTATTTTTATTTTTTTATTTTATTTCATTTCATATAATTTTATTTATTTCATTTTAGTTTGCTATTTCATTTTATTATATAATTTTTCACAACATTTTATTTTATTTTATTTTATTTGATTTCATTTCATATTATTTTATTTTATATTGTTATTTCATTTAATCATATAATATTTCTCAATTTTTATTTTATTTTATTTCTATTAATTTTTTTTTATTTTATTTTATTTAATTTCATATTATTTTATTTTATTTTGTTATTTTATTTTATTATGTAATATTTCTCAATATTTTATTTTATCTTACATTATTTTAATTTTTTTTATTTTTTTATTTTATTTTATTTAATTTCACTTTATTTTATTTATTTCATTTTATTTTGTTATTTCATTCTATTATATAATGTTTCTCAATATTTTATTTTATTTTTTGATTTTTTTTATTTTATTTTATTTCATTTCATATAATTTTATTTATTTTATGTTATTTTGTTATTTTTGTTTTATATAATTTTTCACAATATTTTATTATATTTTTTAAATTTTTTTAATTTATTTTATTTTATATTATTTCATTTCATATAATTTTATTTTGTTATTTCATTTTATTATATAATTCACAATATTTTATTTTATTTTATTTTCCTTATTTTGTTATTTTATTTTGTTATTTCATTTTATTATATAATTTGGCAAATTTTTTTTTTATTTTATTTTTATTTGTTATTTTATTTTTTAATTTTATTTTAATTATTTTTTTATTTTTGTTTGATTTTTTTCTATATTATTTTATTTTGTCTTTTTTATTGTGTTTAATTTTTTTTTTTGTTTTATTTTTATTTGATTTTATTTTATTTTGTTTTATGTTAATTTTTTTTTTATTATTTTAGTTTATTTTTTTCAGCTTGAACATTCCTAAGATAATTGATAGTTATACACAAGTTAGTAAAAGTAAGAGAAAGCTTTTTTGTTTGTTTTTGTTGCAATTAAAGCGTTCTAACATAAATTATAAAAACCGCATCAGCCCGAAAGCAAGTTGAAGACATAATTATCAGGTGTACAAAGCGCAGTTTTTAGTAGATTTTTACATACATATATATATATATATATATATATATATATGTATGTATAAGCTAAGCTTGGTTAAAGTTGATATAACAGGGTTTCAGAAACATACTCATCTCTCCGGTATATAAATTCAGTTGCTTGCGATACAACTGTGGACCAATTTCTGTTGGAGTCTCATTTAGAAACTTTTCTCTATCAACAACAACATCACAACAGCCTGCATAATGTTATGTAGTATGTATGTATGTAATTCACAACGACGATTTCACAACAGATTTACGATTTTCCAATACATATATAAAATGAAAATCAAATAATAATAAAAATTAAATTTTATTTGCTAATAAATTGAAAAAAAAAATATTAAAAAATTTGGCAAATATGTATACACACTCTTGTACATAAATATGTATTTATTATAGTTAAAACACTCACCGCCCGGACCGCGTTGATCCTTTAAATTGCCAATTTTCGCTGGCGCACTGCCACCGAACATCATTGGATAGAATACTTTTGGCCAAAGTATGGCGATGCAGCCCACCACAGTCACAATTATGACAGCTGTTTTCTTAGGACTCAAGCCACCATCCTGCGTCTGTAAAGAGTGACTCGTTGGCGGTCGTTGCTGTGAGCGTGTCTGTTGCATTTTTTGACGTTTATATTTTATTTAATTATTTTTAACTTATTATTTACTTCGAAATTTTTATTTTATAAACTATGTGAGTAGATTTGATATTTATATTATTATAATATGCATTTGTTTATAATTTTTCCTTTACTCAATGTAATTTATAAACAAAAAATTCGTTTAACTACCGCAGGGTTCTACTAAAAAAAGTTCGTTTGCTAAATAATAATAAACTTTTGTTTTTGTAATACTATCGCATTGAATTGGTATAATGGATTTTATTTTATATTTATTTTTGTTTTCTTCTTCTTCTTTATTTCTGCACTTTTAGTTGTATTTTAGTTCGGCCTTTTTATCTGCAAAATAAAAAAAAATTTTGCTTTTGGTTTTATATTACGATTTCAATTCAATTTTATATTAATTTAAATTTAAACTGTAAAGGCATATATTATCAGCTGCGTTAGATTTTCGAAACTGGTCGAAAGTGACAATCTAACGGAATTTCAAGGCGAATTTATAGATCAGATCATTTAATTGCTTGTTCTTCCTTCCATTTCAGCAAATTACGCAAACAAAATGCATGGGAAATGAGTTTTGACATTTTTCGAACGTTCGTTTACACAAACAAAATACATGGGACTTTTGTTTTTGTATTATTGCTACTACCGTGTATGAATTTGCCTTGCGGAATTACATTTGGTATACTAATGTTAGAAAACGTCATTGTGAATGTCGTTCGGGTTATTCACAAAAGTATATATTTTTTTAGATAAAAAAAGTTTTTTTTTTTACAAATTGTGTAAATATAAAAATATAATATATATAAAAATAAAAATAAAAAATAAAAATAATTTTCATTGAAAATTTAATTAAAATATTTTGTTTATCAAAATTAAAATTTGAGACGACGCTATAATGGAAATGATCACTAGCGATTAAGGCAGTTTAAAGCAATTTCTTGAAATTTGAGTACGTTTCCCATTTTCCCAGCATTTTATTTGCTAATTCTTACTCATGATGTTGCAAAATATCGGTTATTTTCTAAAAAAAAATATGCAGAAAATAGGAATTTTTAAGACAACACGCCTAATCACCGGAAGCGAAACTGTGTTCGACTGAAAATTAACAAAACATTTGACAGAATCGCATCTCATAATGCGAATATCCAATTCGATCAGCGATATTCGTCAGCCAGCAGGCACCGAAAGCAAGTCATAACAAATAAGACATGTATGTCGTAAGAGGCGACTAAAATTCAAAAGCTCTCGCAATAGTCGGGCATTTATACCGGAACAACTCGGACTTTTATTCGGCCAAGTACTGTTATTTCTGCAACATTTACCAAACACTACTTTGGGGTATATTTTTGCGGCTACAACAACAGCAACAAACTTTAGTAAAAATGATTTGAATTCCACTTATGTTTTTCCTTAAAACAAAGACAAATAATATCGAGTGCCATAGTTCCGAGGCAGTAGCCTTAGATGTTTGAAAAATTTTTTGTATATTTTTCGTAAAAAAAAATTATGATTACACAGTTTTAGTATTATTGTTTCACGCACGCATGATAGACATTAAGGAATTGTGTATTTAAATTTAAGTTTCGTTTTCTGAGTGGAGCATAACATTTTGTCGAAGAAAAATCTGTTAAACACTTGTTGTTGTTATTTTGAGGTCGTAACACTCTATTGCCCCTAGTTTGTAAGTTTAGTTCTTTGTATGCCATTTTATTATATTTTACTTTTTATTTTATTCTTCTATTTTGTTTTTTTATTTTCTTTTATTTTGTGTTTTATATTGTTTTACTAAATTTTATGTTATTTTAGTTTATTTATTGTAATTTAATTTTATGTTGTTTTGTTTTAATTTAATTTTCTTTATTTTATTTTATTTTATTTTAGTTTATTTAATTTTTGTTTTCATTTTAATTTATATTCTTTTCTATTATATATATTTTTTGTTTAAGTGTACTCAAGTTAGTTTAATTTAATTTATTTTTCATTATTTTATTTTATTTCAATTTATTTTAATTTAAATTAAGCTTTTTTAGCTTAGTTTATTGTATTGTTTTTTATTTTAGTTTATTTAATTTAATTTTAATTTTATTTTATTTATAATTTTTTTATATATGTTTTTTTATTTATGCTTTTGTTTCAGTTTATTTGATTTAATTTAATTCAGTTCAATTTTATTTTGTTTTAATTTATTTCATTTGAATTAATTTTATTTTAATTTAATATATTCTATTTTTTTTTCTATTTTAGTTTAGTTTATTATGTTATATTTTCTTAGTTAATTCAATTTGATTTTTACTTAATTTTATATTCTTACGTATTATTTATTTTTTTTTTGTTTTAGTGCATTTAATTTTATCTAGTTTTTTCATTATATTTTTAACTTTTATTCTTTTAATTTGTTTTGTTTTTATTTAATTTATTTTGTATTTTAGTTCATTTAATTTAATTTAGTTTAATTTTATTTTGTTTTATTTTAATTTATTTTATTTTAGTTTAGTTTATTATACTGTATTCTTTATTATAGCTTTTTTCAATTAATTTAATCTACCTTAATTTTATTTAATTTTTATGTTCTACTTTTTATTTGGTTTTGTTTTACTTTATTTTATTTTAATGTATTTTATTTTATTGTATTTAAGTGTAGTTTATTATATTGTATTTCGTATTTTAGTTTATTTAATTCAATTTAGTTTAACTCAATTCCATTTTTTTAATATTTTTTATTTAGTTTACTATATTATATTTTTTTTTTTTTTTTTTTTAATTTAATTTTATTATATTTGATTTTAAATTGTTTTATATTACTTAATTTTTTCTGTTTTCTTTTATTTTATTTTTATTCAGTTTCTATGTAAGTCGTAGGCGAATGGAGCACATTTCAAAAAAATTCACTTCACGATAAATATTTGCATTGTTTAGAATATATATTTTTTATATAATTTATTGATTTACTTTTTTAATAAATTTTTTTTCTACGTTTTGTTTTTCATGTACAATTTGAAAAGTACAATTTTTGAGAAAACTTTGAGAAGCCGTGAAAATTTGACTATTTAATCACAGTTAAAACTAGTTTTTAATTACATAAATAATGTTCCTACTTGGTACATAAATTAATAAAAATATGTTTTAGGTTGCAACTTTTCAAAGATTTTCATTTCTTTTTTTACAGATACTCGTTTGTTTAATATGGACATAATTTATTCACTTCGCACATATTTTATTCCATGATTCTTCCAGCATGTGTTATTGCAGCATTTTATATATGTAAGCATCATTTATTATCACTGGGCAAATTTAAAAAAAATTGCATTATCTTTGCTTGAGCGATATTTTTTATCCGCTACAATTTGTTATTACATAAAATTTTTGCTAACCGCACTGCGTTTTGTGACTAAATACATTTTGCCCGTAATTATTTATTTTTAGCGCTCACATCTTGGGCATTTCTGATATTCAAAATTTTCAGTATTTGCTCCACAAAGGCAACGAGCCAAGAATTAACAAAAAATGTGTGATTGTACATACATACATATTTATATTTAATACATATAAATTAAAGCACACTTTCAATCCAAGGAAAAGTTTGAATTTAGCAAATATTATTTTATAATAAAATTGAGCAAAATTCTTAATAATTTGCATATATATTTTTTTAATTTTATTGTAGTTTCCAAAACACTTATTTATTTTTCATTTAATTTTTGTTTTATATAAAATGTGTCAACTTTTCCATCACTTTAACCAAACACATAACCAGCACATAATTACATTGCAACAAATTATATATATGTATGCATATACTCGTATATACGTATAAGAGACCTAACACAGAAATCGCTGGTAACGTTCGTTCTAGTCAAGTTGAACTCGGAGACTAGCTGGCAATGTGTAACCAGGGAATTTTCTTTTTGAAATTAAAATTTTCGCGACCACCAACAAAATCGCACTCATCACGCAATTACACAAACCTACAAACAAGCGCAAACATATGAACAAATGTATGCACACCGAGGAGGAGTGATTATGCCGCTGCCATCATTTCCACCAGCTACAACAATCCATCGTTTTCTTAGTCACTGCCAACGCTGCCGCTCAGCGCTTTCACATTTGTGAGCGTTTTTTTTTTTTTGTTTTTAAGAAATATTGTCGTTGCTATTTGACCGCTTGTTGTTGATGTTGCTATTGTTGGTATTCCTTATTCGTATGCCTCATTGTTGTTGTATCTATATTTTGCGTTGTTGTATGTGTATACTATAGACATGCCTCATCTTATAAACACATCATACAGGTTTTCCTCTTTGTACATTCTCCCTTTAGCCATTTTCCACCATTCACCTGTTTGCCACACAACATCTGATTTTCATTTTCAATGTACGAATAATTTGCTAACAAGTCAAGTCTGTCACTGCTCATCTTCTTTCCAAGAGGTGTTGAGATTTCATACAGAAAATATAGGTAAACAACAAGAGCGTTTATTTATATTATTTGCACTGAAGAAACACCGTGGAAAACAAGTGAAGAAAATAATCCCATTAATCCATTAGAAGGTTGGTCTCGCCATTTCGTCCACATTGGGACCACAAATATACTCATAAGAACAAGTATATACATACATATGTATAAGTGGTTGCATACTAATATTCGGTTGGTCAGGGTTCGTGTCCTAATTCGACCAACATCCAAAAATTTATAGAAAATTCATTTTCTAATTTTGGTCGCCCCTCGGCAGAGAATATCAAACTTTCCGTACGTATTTCTAACACAAACAAAGCAAAACTCCAAGCTGTAGGGGAGCCCGGCCGAACAACGCTCAGCGGTTACAAAGCGCGAGTTATATGTACATATACTCGTATTAAGAGAAATGGAAATGAAATCTATGCTTTTTGGTTGTTGTCATTTACAAACATTGTGGCCAACAACATATTCTAACACACGTCTCTCTGCCTGGGAGAGCTACATAAATACAGACACTGCGCTCTTATTCAGTTGCAGGTGTTTGTCGGCAAATGGAAAACTTGGAAAAGCTATGAGCAAAATGCAAAAATAAAAGCATTTTCTTATATTCGGCACATAGACAAGCACATATATGTGTACATTTATGTAGGAGTATATAGCGATGAAAACAGCCGGTTGTGAATATCAACAAAAATGTCGAATAAAAATATAAATTTTATAACAAATTTTAGATTGTGAAGTCCAAAATACGTACACAAGTAGTTCATACGTACATACCAAGCCCCCCCAAACGGTTGATGGTTTTCTATGAGGAGCTTTTATTTCATATCAGAAATACATTCGGAGGGCGACCGCAATTAATTTTTAAGCTATACATTTTTGGATGTTTCTACGACACCATATAAATATATAAATTTTATGTTTGCGTATGACCGAATTCGCTATTTATTTTAATGAGTAACCTAGTATTTGACATTATTTAAAATTTCGTGTTGTTGCTTTTCACTCACAAATTCCGCTGACTGATTTAAATGTTTTCATTTATCTTCAATGTGTATTCATTTCCCACACTCATTTTTTATTTATTTTGTTTGCCTCTAAATCATGTTCATTATCCATCGAAAAGTAAACATAAATTTTCTATATTTATTTATATATTCTATTTTAATGGGATCAAAATGCATGGATATACATACGCGCATATGTATGTATATTACAAGCAAATATTTGTATCTATTCACAATAATTGACTTTTTTTGTATTTATCATCAAAAGAAACGATGTCTTTGACCATCAGCATTCCATGAAAACATATATACACGTACATTCATCAGTAAGTATATATAATTTATGTATGTTCGCTTTTTAAGAATTATAAATACTACATTAGTTCATGGCCATTTTAAAGGTTAAAAATTTTGTCAATTATTATTTTTACAGAAACTTTTACATTCACGGGTATCTAAATTAATTTTAGAAATATGCTTCCAAACATACATATGATTACTCTAATTTTACTCTTATGTGTTGCACACCCGCACTTAAATGATGTTTAGTAGCAGCTTTTCATTTGTATACCTTTTAGTATTATGTATGGCAAATAATTTGCATTTATTTATTTTTCACTTTAATTCGTTTGTTTTTAATAGAAAATAATGTAGCCAAAGTTAATTTCAACGCCCAAAATTTTACCGTCCATCGACATCTACTGCGGTATGTAAAAATCAATAACTATACTATGAGCAAACGACGTAGTTGCCCAATCGTATCCTTGTAAGTGCCGAAAGTACGACTTTTTTTTGTACGCTGCAGGAATTAGAGATTTTACTTTCTGTACGTACAAGTTGCGCCGATCATATATCCCTTTAAAGAGTCCTTTGTATACTTTGCTTAAATTATGTAAATTATTATCTTCCTCCCTTGCTCTTATGCGTTGAACATTTTTACGATATATTAATATAAGCAAACACAAATAACAGTTACTCTTTTTCTCCAAATATTTTTACCAACACTTGAGAAAGTTCACTTAATTTTCTAAATAACTATTAAAAACATTCACGGCTTTTTCCTTTATCCGCTTCCGATTGCAATATGGCTGACAATATTCGTACACATTAAGCTGTGTTCACATTCTGCGAACAAATATTTGATATTCCCAGGCCTATTCTGTCGATGTAGCGAAATTTACTTTGGTAAATTCAGTAAATTTTGTTACTATTTTGTATTCTGAGTTCACTGTTACCCTGTAAATTGTGTTACCAGCGATATAGGTGGTAACAAAAATCTGCTGTTTGATTTTTTGTTGTTAGATTAAGAAAAAAAAAACCAAAATGGGTAGGCATATTTTAGATCTGGAATTTATTGAAGATGAGGAAAAAAGTGTAAAAAGGTGTATGCTAAGAAGTTGCGAGAAAAAAATAACCCTTTCAATTGGGAAGATAGCGTTTCATTCAGCTCTTTTTCTTTGTCGTTTAGGCATATTTTCCAAAATTAGTTTCAAATATTTATGATTTAAAAAGCAAATAAATAAAAGTTATTTATTTTGTTGTGCACCGTCTTCCATTTCGATGTGAATATTCTTCTTTTTTACTTTACCAACTGGCAAATATAATTTGACAAGGAAGAAGAATGCAGTGCTACCAAAGTTTTTTCAAACATTGTAACCAATTCGCCAAAATACCAAATTCAATTTCGAGTCTTAAAAAAGTAACAAAATTTTCTTTATCGGTAACAGCTAGAATAGTGCTGTCCATATTGTTTTCTAGGTTATGCCTGTAACTCTTACTATTTGGAGGAACCAAGGGTACCCAAACCCTTCTACGTTCAATTTTTGCTTAACCTACTGCAGCAACGTTTAACGCTAGAATAGCTTAATTTATAGCTGATAATAAATATTCCTATATATGCTGATAAATAGGCTGCTCCTAATTTAAGCCAAGCGTTCTTAGAGAGACACAACCTCACATTTAATCGGCATTCATTTTAGAAACAATAGATAGTTTGCGACAATGTCTCTGTCTGCAATCTTCACGCACAATGATATTTTTACTGCTACATTTACTTATTATGGCCAAAGAGCGTTCTGTTATGTTGGTCGAAATTGCCTGTATGATTTCATGGAGTGATTTCCTCCGCTACTGCCGTTACGAATTAAAAAAATTATTAATTTTTTTTTCTATTTTGAAAGAATTCTATTCCAAAAATGGTTTGTTCATTTAAAATTGTATTTAGATACACTTAAAAAAATATTAAAGGAAAATAATTATCTTGGTATCTCTAATATCGATAACATTGTTTATAGCGATTGTTCCTTATACCGCATTTAATCGCCATCTTCTGCTAAATGGATTTTTTGTTTTTCTATTATAGTACATAAATTTTATTTGTTACCTTTGGTAAGTTTATATTGTGGTGGTTTTGTGTTAGCTTAAATATAATAAAAAGTGTTCAACATTGAAATTGAACTTAAATATAATGCAAAATGTGTTGAAAATGCAACTTTTCTTTTAATACTCGGATACTTACAAACCTAATTTATCTTGTTATTTGTTGATGTGCTGGAAGGAGGTGTAAAAACGTGTGTTAATTTGCCATGTGTACAGTGTATACTTTTTAAAATTTCAATATATGTTTATGTGAATATATTATTATAGTGCTATATATATGCGTAAAGGCTGTTAATAAATTTTAATGTAGTATAAATAGAAACCTGCACAATTTAATTCATTACTTCAAAATTTAATACATCTGTATGATTGACAGCTGTTTATTTCTTATTAGATTTTTATTTCACTATATACAAATATATATAAATGCATATGGATGCAAGTTATATATATATTTTAAGCATGTAACTGGCATTAAAAAAATTTTAGTGCCATTTTACGTTTTTTTTCCTTTATCATTGAACCGGTTCCGTCGTTAGGCAATTTGCATGTATCAAAGTAACGTCGGCGTTTAATATTAGAAAGTAATTATTTTATATTTCCTCTTTAAGCGCAACTCTTTGAGACAAGACGTCATTATCTACGTCAGTTTATTGATATCGACAGACTTCCAACTGCACTGATCGCAAGTTAGTAAGCTAAAATGAAGACCATATTGGACGTTATGTCAATGCAAAAACGCACTGAAGCTAATAAAATTCAAAAACAAAAACCTACAGATTATCGGTAAAATTTGATTAGAAAATAAAAATGATAAATTTAATTTAGTAACTTATTGTTGTCAATTATACAATTATACTACAGTAAAGTTGATAAGCCGGGTGTTGTGCCACGTTTCCTCTTCGAATGTGCAGTTAAATTGCAAATTAAGCCATTGACCTCCGCAAGTGCTGCCATAATTTACCATCGATTCTACAACGAAGTATCAAGTAGCGATTATGATGAATATGTAAGTGGTTAAACAATAAAAAAAGAAACTAAATTTACTCATAAATTCACTTAACCGCTTGATCACACCTTATCACAGCTTATAGCTGCGTCCGCGCTTTACCTGGCAGGCAAGATTAAAGACGATCCTGTAAAAATTCGTGACGTCATCAATGTTACACACAGCACTTTGAATCGTGGCTCCCAACCACTTGAATTGGGCGATGAATATTGGTCGATACGTGATGCAATAGTACAAGCTGAATTGCTTATTGCACGTACATTGAAATTTGATTTAAATATTGAACATCCACATAAGGTACATATTATTATTGCACTGCTTTATACATACATAAATAAATTGATGTTCATTTAGAGCGTATAATACTAACTAATAAGAATATTTCTTCCAACAGTACTTACTTTATTATATGAAAACATTGCAATCTTGGCTGGGTTCTAGTGTCTGGTCATCGGTGCCAATAGCAAAAGCAGCGGCATCTTTTCTACAAGATTTTCATCATAGTACAAAAATCCTCAATCACAAGCCATCGCACATCGGTATATGTTGCTTATCGTTAGCATTGCAAACGTATGGCATACAAGTACCACTCGCCGATGAATCTGACGAGGCCTCTATGTGGTATACGGTGAGTTGCATGCAAGAAGTATCTATATGCATTTTTGCAACTGCCTTTTTCGTTCTTTGCAGCCATTCGTAACCGATCTAACCAAGGAGAAACACTGGGAAATCGTTGAAGATATAATAGAGGTTTATAAACAGGAGAACGAAATCAATTCTGCTTAAAGTGAAAATTATAAGCTTTAAAGTGACTTGAAGTATATGCGAAATTTGTGATAAGGAAAATCCTCAAGCTATACAATAGGCTTTGGTGTATTTCTTCCTCATATAATAGTTAATTACTGAAATTGTATTCCATCAAAATTTTTAAACAAAACACACACACACACCCATGTAGACTTACCGACCAACCTGAGAAAGGCATGAATTAATTTAACTGGGTACATAAAAGTATGATTTAATAAAACTTTTTTATTTATGAAGTTGCATTATGTATTCATGATTTAATGTGATTATTATTGTATATGTTATGTGTAATACATTTACGATTACATAGATGACTAATTATCTTATTGAATTTCCAAAACAATGGAATCAAATTAATGCCTATGCCGGCTCTTATGCTTCTCACTACGATATTCACGTTCTCTGTCATCGCGTTTCGATGAACGCGATGAGCTGTAGGCCGGGGATGGTGATCGACGTGGACGTGGCGAATTCTCATAACGAGTTGATTTAGATAAATATGTTACCCGTTCTGTTGTGTAGCGTTTAGGAGAATCTGATGGTGAACGCGAACGATTTCGCCTGGAAGATTTATTACTGCGTGTGCTGCTTGGGGTTGGCGACACTTCACGACGCGTTGTGTATGGAGAATGTGAGCGCTTGCGGCTTGAACGTGGTGTCGGTGATGAACGTGAAGTACTGCTCTGATATTGTGCTGGCGATGGGGAACGCTTTTGGCGACGCGCACGTTTGCTAGAACTGTCCGGTGATTCACTGCCTCGACGCTGTTCTTTTACATTCATGTAAGAGAGCGGCGAATCTGTAGCCTCATTATCCTGAAAGGAAGATACATATGCATTTTCAATTAGTTTTTGTAAATTCAATGTTCTGCGTACCTTTTTCAGCAGCTTGCGCCTAAAATGCTCGACTTGATCACTCATTGTCCAGCCAGATTTGAGTTGCCGCATGCCTGCTTCCAATTCGTCTTGATATTGCATAGTCTTCATTTCAATCTCACGCAACTTTGTGCGTTTGTCATCATCGTAACTTTGAGCAGCATTACTATTGCCCTGTTCATCGTCGCTAGAGTCGTAGAACTTTGGTGCTTGAGGCGGATCGAGTGTATCCCATTTGCTGGTAGTGATTGCTTGTGCTTCCACTTGTTCGGGATCAACAATTTCCCACTTTGATGGTATGAACGCACCACCCTTAGAATTTGCTTTGAACTGAGCATCGTTATGATCTGATGACAACTTTTCCAATGGTATGCCGTCTATGTCTTCATCCACTAGACATGAGAAGGGAGAATCATTAAAAACTTAATTCTTTTTGCACATGTTTTTAAGCTTACGTGGTACTCCATCGATGTCATCATCATCGTCGTCGTTACCAATATCACGCGTGGGTGTACTTTTCTGTATTGACATCGCATCGGGCAAGCCACGCATTAGTGCACTCTTTAGCAAAGCTGCACCATCCAATGGTATTCCATCTAAATCTTCATCATCCTTTTCGTCGCCTGATAATGGCGCACCATCAATGTCCTCGTGTGCTTCTTCAATGAATTCCTCGACTGGTGGAGGAGATGGCGGTATCTGTAATTTAAGGTTCAGGAATGTTATGAAAATCTTCGCAATTCATATTCATACACCAAAGTATTATCTACCTGTTTTCCCAAAAACACACTTTTTATTTTGGCTAAAAATTCTTTGGGATATATCGTCCATTCCTCCCAAGCGCGAATAACATTGATAACGCGCGACTTGAAGCCCTCAGCCTTTAGCCGACTTTCCATAGAGTTGAAAAAAATATGAATATTTTCGAATATATCCAGTAAATGTTTTTCAATTCTGAAAAAAAAGCAATGTCAACCAATTACTAGATTCTAATTTGCCATACAACACTTACGCTTTTCTAAAGAATGATGCATTTGAGACTTTCACAGTGCAATTATGTAGAATATCAGATATTAAATAGAGCCGTGCTATTTTCTTGGATGCCAATGTGTCTGGATTGGCCAACGATTCGCCAATACATTCGCAAATTTCATCTGCAGCGTCAGCGTGTTCGATGCAAAATATCATTGCATCACCAATGCGTGAGCGCTCAGGCGTTATGTGCCGTAGAAGGTCCTCTAAACGATCACGTTGGCTGAAAGTATTAAAGAATAGTATTTACTCAGTTAGAAAGTAATGTCAAACATACGCATTTGATAGTGCTCCCTTGTGTACAATAGTCGCATCCGGATCGACGACAAGCTCTTCTGGCATACCCATGGTATAGAAGTTTGCTATCGGCGGTTTCCATATTGGCCCGCCCTTAAACATACGAAATTCCTTCTCATTCCATTCTGTGGGTGTATCGCCTTGTAATAATGAGAATAGTTTCCAACGATAGTATATATGAGCAGGACTTTCATTGTCAAATAGAAAAGAAAATAATGGATTTTCCATTTCTCGACTCATTATCAAAGCTTCGAACATGGGACCCTCACGTATGACAAACTCAATCATGCGATGTATAATATTGAGTACAGCTCTAAAACAAATTTTAATATTTTAAGCAAATTTTTAAATAATTTAATTACTCTTACTTTTCAGTCGGTATGAATACCTTTACGATAGATTTATAGAGTACCTGTTAATATAAATAATAAATTATATGGATTCATTAATTAACCATTTGCTCTTACTTTTTCCATATTTTCTTTCTCATCTTCCGACGTATACTCTTTATAGTTGTTTCTTGGTAAAGTTTGTGCTTCTGCTGGTGGCGGTTGAGCATTAAATGGTAAGCCAGATGGCGGTGGAGGTAATGTTAACTCTAGTAATGTTGGTGGTATAAAGATTGGTTGATTCATAATTGGTACAGATTTTCCCCAGCCAAGTCGCATTTCATAACCCATAATATAACGTCCGTTTAGTGTCTTTAGTGCTCTTTCTGCGTCTTTACGACTCATATAGGCAACAAAACCACAATTGCGTCCTCTTTGCTTTTCCTCCTCAGATCGAGGCCACATAATTTTTATACTGGCAAGCGGTCCATAACGCCCAAAAATTTCCATTAGTTGCTGTTCTGAAATCTATGGAAAGTAAGAAAAATAATAATACATTTAATATTCAAATTAAATTTCATTTACTAAAAACCTTGGGACTGAGGTTGCCTAAATACAGATTAGTTGTATTTGGATCGCCTGTATCAAAGGAGCCAGATTCTCGAACTTCTGGCGTAGCTTCTACAACCTGTTGGGCTACAGCTTGTCCAGCTAAATGCTTGTATTTGTGACGTTCCTCACGTTCTTCTTGTATTCTAAAAATCATTTATTAGTTTACACAAATTTTGAAGATTTTTTGCGGCAAACTCACTGTCTTAATTCTTCCTTAAACAATTCTAAGTTACTTTTTTTCTTTTCTTGACTCTTCTTTTTAGCTGATATTGTATCTTTTTTCAGATCAGAGGCAAGCATTTTTGCATATTCTTGGGCTTTTTCTGCAGCGCTTTTCTCATCCAGCCTTGAACCCGGCTTATATAATTTTCCTTTCTCACGATTGTCTTCTCCTATAAAATAATCAAATATTTACAAAGCTTACTGGCTATGTTGTCGATTTATACTAACGTCTTGAACCAGCGTCATATGTACCGGCTTTTACCCAAACTTTTGACGAAGCGCTGGGTGCTTCTTGAAAAGTTTCAACGAATTCTTTAAATACCTGTCAATTAAGAAATAAAGAAATCTTGAATTTGTATTTGGTTTTTTAATATGTACGCAGGCTTTACATGTGCCGCGGCAGCCTCGTCCTCTTTTTTCTTCTGCTCTTCAAGTTCTTTTTTAGACATGGTACGCTTTCCCATGTTCCCCACCGCAAAAGCCTCTAGCTTCTTCTCGCTAATACGCTGCAAATAAATTTATTGAATGAATCTTATATGCTTCTATTGAATTATGATTTACCTTCATGGTTGGCGAATGAAATGAATAAATACTAAAAAATTATGAGAATAATTCCAAAAATTTGACCATCAAAACGTTAATTTGTGATAATATTATCTTCTTCTTCTTCCACGGAAGATTACAATTATATTCTAAGAGTTGCACTATGTTATCGATACATTTTTTGTCCATAATTGGTTTATCAAACTTTAATTTTATTTCAATATCTAATTATTTTTCCTAAAAGTCATAACTTAGAAACATCAGAAGAAATATGCTTCCTTTTATACAATTTATTTATTTTAAGGAATAAAAATACGGAAATGGACTCAGAGTCGATCTAAGATAATTTTTTCATGGCAAAGAGTCTGGCAACGGTAATTTTTTATATTATTTTTTTGTTTATTGCTGCAGTTGAATGAAATTTGTTCTTGTTTATTTATAAGTTGCCGATGTTTTCTTTTTCAAATTGTTGTTCATTACTTAACAATATATGAAAATGATTTGTCGATTATGCCTTAAGGATATTACAGAGGTAATAAATATTTTTGATGATGTAGGCGTGGAATTGAACGTGTCCGGAGTATTGGCGAAATACTTTTGGTTTGAGGTAAATTTAGAAAAACCGAAAAACTAAAAATGTTTAGTTAAAACTAAATAACTAATAAATAACTAACTCTTTTTTTTTTTAGCCAAGAAGTGATGATCCAATATCGACAGCAATTTGTAATTCATGTTGGGTCACTGTATCCAATTTCCATGAGTTTTACATAGGTGTAGAAGAGGCTCATAGGCTACTGACGGAGCGATTTTCCTTGAAGACCGAAACCCAGCCGAAACGGAAGCGACGTCGTTATTCAATATCGGATGATAAAGAGGCGGATGATTGGTTACACACAAGCTTAACTACTCGAGTTTCGAGAAGTGACAGCAATGAGGATGTTTATAACGACAGCAATGTACCAGTTGAGTCCACAACAGACGAAAATATTTGTTCGGAAATAAGAGAATTTAAAAGCGAACATTCTTTAAACGGTGATGAAAACTCCATGAGTAGTGAAGCAATTATGGAGGAAGTAATGGGTCTTGTTACAGAATGTGAAGGTAGTGAGCACCATTTATTTATCTTAGGCATGTGCAGATCAATATCTACCCAATTTTGTGTTAAATTTTAGATACACTCGCCATACAATCGGACCGAGACTTACGTTCCACACGTTCAAAAAGCAAAAAGAAAATACAAGATGAAAATAATGCTTCCGAAGGTAACCAAGTAAAGAACATAAGCACTGAAGATACGAATTCAAACGTTAGCCCTGCTGTTGAGATTAAGAAACGACGTGGCAGGCCACGTAAAGCTGAGACAAATGACGATGGTACAATGAAAAAAGAAAGAGTAAAAACAAAAAAGAGTTCTAAGGAAGATGAAGAAAGTTATGAAAAACGAATGCGTCAAATTGATGAGAAAATTACCCAATGTATGCGTCTGGCATGTGATATCTGTGCTGAGGAGCAACCAACATTCTTAGAACTACGCAAACATATGGAAATAGTGCATCAATGCAAAGGCTATGCAATATGTTGCAATAAAAAATTCAATAAACGTGCTCTCCTCTTGGGTCATATTGAAAAACACATTAATCCGGATTGTTACAGGTAAAATCGTTAATATTTGCATATATAAATATAGGAATTATTTGAGAAATAAACCTATTTTAGGTGCGAATCATGCGATAAAACTTTTGCCGATAGGCAATGTATGCGCAACCATTTCCTTATCAAACATCAACCGGAGGAGGAAAAGCAATACAAGTGTAACCATTGTTCTAAACGTTTTGCGCGTCCCTATATACTCGAACAGCATCGCCTTATACATGAAGAACGCACACATATTTGTGACATTTGTAAAAAAGGGTAAATATTTATTAACCTTTTCTTTTGATATTTATGCGTATGAGTTACCGACTGCTTTCATTGTTTCTTCTAGTTTTCCAACCGTAAACATGCTCACCACACATAAGAAGACTATGCACACGGATTATGGTGCCACCGTATGTGATGTTTGTGCAAAAGTAATTAGAGGTCGTACCGCTTTTGCACGCCATCAACTGGAGCATTCTGGCATTGTGTTACCGAAAGTGCAATGCGAAAAATGTGGCTCATGGCATAAAGATAAATATAGTTTACAGAAACATAAGCGACGTCATAATGAGGACGGCACCATACATGTATGTACAATATGTGGAAAGGTGGCACCAAATCGTAGTGCAATGTTAAGCCATCAACGTTACGTACACAAATCGGCGCGTGTGTTCGAGTGCAGTGTTTGTAAGAAAGCTTTTAAGAAGGCTATAACATTAAAGGTAAATCTCTTTAAACTTACCATTCGCTTTTTAATATTGTATGCCTGCATATATTTAAAGGAACATATGACCATGCATACCGGAGAGGTTTTATATAATTGTCCCCATTGTCCGAAGACCTTTAATTCCAATGCAAATATGCACTCACATCGCAAAAAAGTACACCCTAAAGAATTTGAAGAGACACGCAAAAAGCGTCGAGAAAATGCTGCCAAACCTGATGCACCTGCTGCTGAAAAAGAGCAAACGTCGGAAGCACCGACTGCCAAGGTGCCAAGTCGGTTAGAAGTCGACAATAGTAATGACAGTAATGGTGAGGTTGGTAATGCTGATTCTATGCCGCAGTTAATTATGATTAAATCCGACGATGGCAACGAAACGCACAGCATATTGGTGACTACAGAGGGTTATAGCGACAACGAAGCCGAGGGGAATGAAAATGATAATAGTATTGTTTTTACAATAAATTAATGTAAATCTTTTTGCAATTAAAATATAATTATAATTTTATTATATATTTGCAATATCGTTATGAATACATAAAAGTTTGTATTTTTCAAAACATTTTGTTTTCTTTTTATCCATTTTAGGCTAGCATTCAAATGAGATGTAGATAAATTAAATAATGAAATTAATAAGTTTTAAATATTTTTAATAATAATAATTTGGAATGTGCAATTTTATATAACAAACTAGTATTTAGATAAAAGCTTTCAAGACAATAAATACTAACCCCGCTCGCATATAATTTCAACCGCATTCGGTTCCATTAATATCGACTCTAAGCAACGATGTACCGCCGAACCAAGTATCTCATCCAACAAGAAATTGACGAGACTAAAATATTTAAAAATAGCTTTGATTGAAATTACTATTAAAATATGCCACTCACTTCTCATCTGTAACGAATCGCCAGAGATTCATTTGTAGGTAATGCGTATCCACTTGCACTTGTTGTAAGCCAAATTTACTAAATGTGCGCAGGCGCACGCATTCTAAAAGTGTCTGAATAAATATGTTAAAGAAATTAAATCACAATAATGTTTAACTTATAGCCAAAAATTAATTACTTTTAGGCCAATCTTAATAATACCCGTCACGATAGATACTTTCGAAAAATCCACATTGGTAAATATATCAATGCGTTCAGAAAATAAACGATGGATATTCGAAACATAACTAGATTCCAATTGTGATGGCGTATAATTTGACCAATTCGACCGAAACTGTTGTTTAGATGTAGTTAGGGTGCTAAAATGTGTCTTGCGACTCGAATCACTGCTGGCTGTTGTGCGCACGCCTGCTTCATAAAGACTAGCGACCACTGTTTCAATTGAGGCCAACTCCTCTACAACACGTTTCATAACGGCGCGTACCGAACGCGGTTCGAGGCAGTTGAGCCAATCGCGCGTTTCAACGCTTTTACGTAACATCTAAAATTTTAGACATTTTGTAATAAAATATATAGCACATTTAAAGTCTGTTATGATTTGTCAAACCTGCGAAATATTTGTACCCTGCAAACGCACATATGCATCCAGTAGTGTTTGCGCAGTTTCACGCATTTCAGCGCATATCTCTGTTTCATGGGTTAGCACGGCACTATTCTCCGAATCGATTTCATATAAATCATCAACCAAAGTGATCTGGAATATTATTGTATTTTAAGAAATTCACAATATTAGTTTACTTAAAGTTTTTACCAGTATATGTACACCATTTTGTTCCATTTCAAGACAAGTTTTCGACAGCACCAACAGTAGATTTGGTGGACTTGAACTTGAGGCGTCGGCAAAAGAACACATAACCTTTGAAATATGACGAAGAAAACCTGCCAACAAATAAAACTAAGAATTATTTTAATTTAAGTAAATAATGTTTTTTTTTTTACCAATTAATAAATTCTCTCTTATGCCCTCCACACACAGAGCCCCTTTGTATTCAGCTTTAATATTGAATGACCAATCGGTTTGTAGGAAAACTAATAAATCCTGTAATACACCTTTAACCTTCTCCACCATTGATACATATAAATTGGTAATTAATTCATTCAAATTCGAGCCATTATTACTGTCACTCTTGGCGGAAACCAATGCCAAGCGTACAGAGCTAAGACTATCAGAGAAATGATCTCTCAGCGATTTCGTATGTACTTCGCAAAGCTGATGTGCTGCGGCGATAATAATATCCACAGTGTTGCGTTGTATGTCCAAACCATGACAAATATTACGCATTGCAAGCAAGCGTCTGTTGAGACGATCAAGAGCACGCAACATAATTTGTGTATCGCCAAAACCAATATCTGATTCAACACGATCCTGCACCAGTGTCAAGTACTTGTCGACATTTTGATTAAGAAATATGTTTAATTGACGCAATGCTTGCTCTTGAAAATCGTCGCTGAAATCCAACAGATTATTTAGTTATAAAAGTATAAAATAATATTTACCCACCTTTCTTTTTCATGATTTTTAGCGACGAACATATCGAAATAGGAAGTGACTACTAATGTTAAGTCATTCAAGAAACCTTCAATACCCATATCAACAAATTCAATCATATCCCGCTCGGTTTGGTCCTGAAATAAATTATTTATTAGTTATTAACTTGTGGGAAAATGGTAAGCTTCACGCTTTTACCTGCAGCAATACAATTTGTTCGTGCAGACGTTTGGAGGCACAAGTCAACATTTCATTAGCTAAATCCGCCGGTTTTTCGTCCAACTGCAATAACAACTCACCAATTTCACTCAACGATTGTGCCGTATTACTTGCCATCTGAAAGTCAGTGCGTAAACGCTCTTTCAAGTCAAGCAAAATACTTTCGCAATCACGCTGAATCCCATCAAATGATGGTTGCCGACCATATTGTGCGAAAACTTTTTGTGCATGTAAGTAATCTTGTACAGCTTGTGCATAATTTTGCTCCTCAATTAGACCCTTCAACTTGGCTGGTAGTGATGAGAGAAATTGTAAACGTTTTAGTAGTGAGTGCTTCTCAGATAGGCGGCAAAGTTGTGAGCGTGTCCCTTGCAATGTATCTGTAATTTGCTCGCTAAACGATGTTATTGTTTGCATTTTTGTACGTAATAAGTTCATATCTGATTCCATTTGTTTGAAATCATTTTTCATTTTCCGGATGGTGTCCGTTGCCGATATGAATTTATTATAATTTTCATAAACCAATGTTTGCATATCGGAATGTAGCGTTTGTGTGTCTTTTATTACTGCAGTTTCAGTATCCATAATCTGCTTTAATGTACAATCCTGCGGAAAATATGCAACATAAATTTTATTCTCTTGGAATAGTGCGATTTATTTACGCAATAAATACCTTTAATAACTTTTCTAAATATTTCTCGGAATCAAATACCGAGCTATCCATATCATATGGATTACCAGTTTTTTCCGTCATCTTTTGGCTAGTTAGCGAGCTTTGTAGATTTTTTCGCCAAGTGGATAATCTCACATATATTTTTATAAACACACCAGCTCAATAAAAAAAAAAACTGCACTTGAGTGTACAATGCAAAATATATATTTGTTTATATACAATTTTATTATAGTTGCGATTATACTGCACAAATAAATAATGAAAGATTTGTGGTTGAAATTCTGATTGCATTTTATCAATCAGCTGTTCGGGATGTGAAAGTACTGCCAGACGCTGCTCTTTGGCAACATCATGATCATAAGGTCAAAGAACGTATATTAATATATATATATTACTTCATAAAAATGTTTGTGGATGAAGAGTTGAAGGAAAGGGGGTTTGCATGCATTACTTGTTTTTGTTGCTTTTACTACTTTTCTACTTTTCTTCATTGAAATCAAATATTCTAGAATATTCTAGAATCTTCTGGAAGTTTTAGAATATTATAGAAATCCTCGCCACAATTCAACTTGTCGACAAGGTGCATGCGGGAAGGCAAGGAAATTGCTTGCTGGGCAATATGAGCTAACAGGCGAACAGAAAATCTAGTAGCACGATGTCGATTTGTTTCATTTCTGCAGGCGATGATTGAATTTTGTCAGTGGCAAGAACTTGAAGCAATGCTTGTGGACGGCTCATGAATGTTACGCGTTGAAGGAAGAAGGGCAGGCTAATGTACGTTGTTGTTGCTTCACTTTTCGCGACCAAATTTGCTTCCGATTTTTTGTGATTTTTGTCAACGCAGCGAAGAAGCAACTTTGTTGTAGGGCGCAGGCGTCTATGAATGAAAATCTTATTGTTGTATTTGATTTCAGTTCTGAGCTTTTAGACAAGAGAAGTATTTTGAGGGATGGGGTAATTTGTTTTCACGCAAATAATGTGTGTGTATGTTTTTGCATATGAGTATACGAATATAAATACATATGTACATATGTATGCATATATACATGTAATTCTTGAGGCAGGTCATTATTTTGTATTGTGTGTACATACATACGTACGTATATATGTATCTACAAATTGATTTATAAGTTAATAAGATTATTAAACATCTAATTAATTTATAAAAATACAATTCATGCATAAATAACCCTCTTTATAAAACAACGCTATTCCGGAATGCCGACGGCAAATCGTCACTTGCTATTGCTATTGGATTATATAAATATATATAAATACAATAATGAAGTTTATGATTTCACCCTATTTCATTTCATTATGAAAATTAATTTATTTCATCAAATAAATATGGAAGCAAAATTATTTAAAATAAATAATAATAAATTTAAACTGAATTCGCATCATTTGCCTTCTTGTCATTTTTGTTATCATCGTCGCCGTAAAAATGCCGAGAAAACATAAGAAGACTACCCCTTCGAGGTGAATTTACAATAATTTGCGAAAGAAGGTCCAAAGCGGACTCACTCCGTCTGTGAAACCTGAGCCACTTCAATGAACAGTTCACAGTTCTTTTCCCTTCTTATTAATATACGTTCTTTGATAAGGTCATCTGAAATATGCCCATTATTAAATACAAATATTTAGTTATACATTTAACATTATAGAGATTCAAGATTTTCCTAAACTTAATTCGAGAAATCAACTAGTAAAACTCACTTGGCTGTTAATTTTGTACCCTGGCATCGTTTCTCTGTGCCCCTCAAACTGTCATATACAGTTTCAGCTACACTGGGTAAACCCTATACGGGAACATAGACTGAGCCACTGTAATAACAACATCGCAGTAGCGACAGCAACAGGTGGTAGGGAAGTAAACACAACAAAGCAGCCACAACAACAACAACAACATCAAAAAGTAAACACACTCACCGCCGCCATGGAAACGAGTTTTGTTATGCGTTTGAGCCATAAACGCAATTTTCTGCAATTGTGTCAATACATACAGAGCTGGTGAGAAGTGAATTCGGGAAAAATGTTTGTTTATTTAAGTAAAAAGGTGAGTATTTCTTTTAATTAAAATCCATATACAATTTAAAAATAATTAAAATTAAAATTTAGATTGCGATACCGAATAATGTGAAATTAAATTGCATTGCATGGAACAAAGACCAAGGCTACATAGCAGTGGCCGGTTCTGAGGGACTACTTAAGGTGTTGAAATTGGAACAATGTAATAAAAAATTTATACATACATACACATATGCATAGGTTTTTCACAATTTTTACGCACTCACAAAACGGAAAGTTCACATTTTAGCATCAAATGGTCAAAATAAAGGCAATCTCGCTGCTGTATCCAATTTGTCTATGAATCAAACATTAGATGGGCATAAGGAGGCGGTAAAAGTGGTCACTTGGAATGAGACGCAACAGAAGCTAACATCTTCCGATTTGGATGGTGTTATTATGGTTTGGATGCTCTATAAAGGTTCGTGGTATGAAGAGATGACCAACGATCGCAAGAAGTCCACAGTAAATAGTATGAGTTGGACATCAGATGGTGCTAAGATTTGTATAGTTTACGAAGATGGTGCTATTATTGTAGGTATGTACATGTATATTAAGTGCGGTTGTGTGAACTTTTCGATCACTTCCGTAAACAATAGCTTAAATGCTAAATATTTTCTTGCATATTTTAAGGCTCAGTGGACGGAAATCGCATTTGGGGCAAGGAGCTAAAGAATACACATTTGACAAGTGTTCAATGGAGTCCCGATAATCGCTTGATTCTATTTGGTTTAGCTAGTGGTGAATGCCATTTATATGATAATCAGGGAAATTTTGCGGTCCGTTACTACATACATAAATACGCACATAAATATTTTATTTGTTTTTATCCCAAAAATAGATGAAGCTCAACATCCAGTGTGTTTCGTTGAGTTCAAATCGTAACTTTAGAATCTCAGCACTGTGTTGGTATAGCGGTCGCGCACCGTCGAATCGTCCAGTTCTGGCTATATGTTTTGAGACGTGCAAATTGCAAATTATGCGCAACGAAAGCGATGATGGTGAGTGTTTACGAAACCTGTAAAATATATACACATATGTGCGTATGTATGCATATAACACTTCCATGTATTCCTTTCGTGTAGCGCCAATTATCGTCGATACTGGCATGCGAAATATTGATGCCGAATGGAATCATGATGGATCTGTACTTGCCATTTGCGGCACTCTTATAGATTACAGCACTTCGAAGGAGCTGAATCAAGTCAGCTTTTATTCGTCCTTTGGTCAGTTGGTGCGTACACTCAAAGTGCCGGGTAATGAAATCTCCTCGCTCTCCTGGGAAGGAAAGTCGTTACGCATTGCTATGGCTGTTGATTCTTTTATATATTTTGCTAATATACGTCCCGATTATGTGTGGTGTTATTTTGAGAAAACCGTTGTATTTCTAAATCGAAATAGTAGCAGTTTCACGCGTAATGCAACAACAAATGTAATCACCTTTTGGAATACGGTTTCGAATCAGGTGTGATAGAAGAATAAATTTTAATACATACATACATAGGTATTTGTTTATTACAATAAAATCTACTTTCAGAGTTTCCTAAAAGAAGTCGAACCGGCCTTGGGTATGGCGGCTTGCAGTGAACATTGTGTTCTCGCCGTGGAATGTTTGAATAGCAATATGAAAGATAATGCTGGCGGTGGTAAGGAGGAACTTCATGGCGATGAGAAATGTTATCAGCTAATGCTGTGCAATTCCATCGGCACTACAGTGGATTGTAAGTAAAATTGGTGATTGCAAAAATATACAATCCGACATATAGTCCGACCAACATCTAAGATTATAGAAAAGTAATTTTCTAAAAGCGGTTGTCCCTTGGTAGGGAATGACAGATCCTTCAGCCATAGGCCTCCATTTTGTAGTAAAAACATCACGACTCACACCACAAACTGGTGGAGAAAAATAAGACCTAGAAAGTTTTTAATCGAATGGATAGATCGTATGATCTTTTGTATCGCTAAAATCTGCTCCTGTTAAAAAAAAATTTTAAAGCAATTAAATATCTACTCTAAGTAGTTTCGTATGGAGATTCAGTATCGAGTAGCACTTAACCGTGCGTTAGCATTTATCCCCCCTGAGATGTGCAGGCCATGGCAGCAAGGACCCTTTTGAACTGGCTGAATACTGGACCAACCATTATATATATGTATAATTGCCGCTTTGTAACCGCTGAAGCGATTTTCGGCCGAGCTCCTCCTCCGATTTGTGATTTTGCGTCTTGATGGTTTTCCAACAAATGGAGGGACCTACAGTTTATACTAAGCTGCCTCCGAACGGCAGATGGGCTTTTTATGAAGAGCTTTATTTCATGTCCGAAACACACTCGGAGGGGTGGACATTAATTTTCCATAACTTTTGGTTGTTGGTCGCACGGGGACTTGAACGCGAGTCTTCCGAATGGTAGTACGCAATGCTAACCACTCGGCTACCGCGGCCGTAATACCAAAAAAAAAGTAAACCGGAATAAAGATCCGGAGAAATCTTTGCAGACTAAGAAGAATTTCCTGAAGAGTCTACATTTATTCCCATTATCTTGTTGTTGTTGTTGTTGTTGTTGCTGTAGTAGTAACTAGTTAAACCCCGCCTAATAGGAATAGTGGTGTTAGACGAGTTGTTTTTAGAGGTGTGTCAAATCTTCACTGTCATAGTGTCATATAACCCGGGTCTCGCTACGCTGCTCGAGCTCTTGCTGCGTCAACACTTTCATAGGACTTTTCTCTTGCATCATCTGCCTAGTAAACTTATTAAATCCTTACACAAATTTTCTTTTAGCTAAATATACCGACATGAAACCCAACTTTATTGGCATCAATTCTGGCCACGTAGCAATAGCATCTTTCGATGAAGTACTCATCTGGCATTATAACACACCCAAGGTCAGCAGTACAGACTTTCTTATATTTTGTTTTCTATTAATCTTTGAGTTCGTTCTTAGAGTGCCGTTAATTTGCATGGAGCGAAAACTCGTAAAGAGAATCGCTTTCATATAGACGACACACCGACCGGCGTTGAAATGGCTAAAGACTTGGTGATAGCCACAGGGGGCGCTGGTGGCGATAACAAAGGATACAAACAGCACGTGAATGTGGATCCGATCTGCGCACTCGCTATGTCTGAGAAAATTTTATTGGTGGCACGTGCATCGGGCACTATCAATGAATACAGTGTGCCGAATGTGGCGTTGCGTAATCGTCATAAAATCAATGCCACGGCCTATAAGTTGGATATTAACTGTAACTCAAGGTACGCATGCAGATGTTAAATTGTTTGCATCTTAATCCGCTAATAAATTACTTTCGACACATTTTCTACAGCCGTGCAGCTGTTATTGATGACACCGGTGTTATGACTTTACTCGATTTAGATGACGATCGCGAATCACAATTGAATTTTAATCGCGTTGAACGTAAGGATGTTTGGGCCATTTGCTGGGCTAAAGACAATCCCTTGTTGCTCGCTTTAATGGAGAAGACGCGTATGTATATATTCCGTGGTAATGATCCGGAAGAGCCCATCTCCTGCTCCGGTTATATTTGTGCTTTTGAAGATTTAGAAATCACAAGTGTCTTACTTGATGATATAATCAGCGGCGATGAGACACAAAATGCCGTTAGCCACATTATACAATTACGTGTGAAGTCCTTACGTGATACCGATGATCTGTTGCAACATGTGGGCTTGGAAGATGCTAAGCAATTCATTGAAGACAATCCACATCCGCGCTTATGGCGCCTACTAGCCGAGGCTGCACTGAAAAAGCTTGAGCTGGGCATGGCGGAAAATGCGTTTGTACGTTGCGCCAACTATCCGGGTATACAGTTAATAAAGCGTCTACGAAACATACCCTCGGCCATGTTACAAAAGGCTGAAGTCGCGGCTTTCTATGGCGAATTCGAGGAGGCTGAAAAGCTGTATATGGATGCGGACAGAAGGTGCGTAAGGTATTTAGGAGGTGTCTATTTTATTTTTAATATTACTTTTGTTTAAAAACAGGGACCTGGCGATTAATTTGCGAATAACTTTGTGTGACTGGTTTCGCGCTGTGCAACTTTATCGTATGGGCTCTGGGGTATCCGATCAGCAAATGGAAACTGCTTGGCGTGAAATTGGCAATCATTTCGCAAGTTTGCGTTCTTGGTAAGGAAAATAAAGTAACTGAATTTAGTAACTCATGTAAAAAATCGGAAGTGAAATATTAATAAGACTTCATGACTAAGTCATCCTAGCTCAGAGTTATCTCATGTCGTTGTTAACTTCATTCTGACAGTTTTCTCAGATGATGTCTCGGTTACTGCGCCGTAAGCTTTCAAGGGTGGATTGTTTTCATCCAAAAGGTTGACATGTTATGTCCTTTTATTTGCTGAACTAGATATGTATGGGTGGCCGCGGTAGCCGAGGGGTTAGCATTGCGTACTGCCATTTGGAAGGCTCGGCTTCAAGTCCCCGTGCGACCAACATTCAAAAGTTACAGAAAATTAATTTGAATAAAAAGTGAAGTTAAATTTTCTAATTTCGATCGCTTCTCGGCAAGGAATTTCAAACCCCTACTAGTGTATTTCTGAGATGAAATAAAGGTTCCTCGTAAAAAACCATCAGCCGTTCGGAGTTGGCTTAGTATAAACTGTAGGTCTCTCCATTTGTTGCAATGACAACAAGACGCAAAAACCACAAACCGGAGGGCAGCTCGGCCGAAAATCGCTTCAGCGGTTACAATTATATACACCATGTATGTCACCTTCGCCAGAAATCTCAAATAGCTAATTGTTCTCTCAATAAATCGTTCTCAAAACCTTTCTCTCTAAAACTCCTGGAGCCGACTCATTCGATATTGTCATCGTTAACGCTTCTGCATAGAGAGAGGACTTTTTTTACTTGCCCACGACGTCCAAATTGGAAACCCTACCAAGAGTGAATCTTCACTGGATTTTGAGTCTAACAACGTTATTGGGGTTGATGCTGTTTCCTCGAAGACGAAATGTCCTACGACGTCAAAGTTATTACAATCACTACAGATGTGGAAGATAAGACCCGAATGCGCTGCCTATGTGTTAGATGACAGAACATAGCTCGTCCTACCAGACCTATTTGCTTTCCTTTCTTACCCATTCTAAAGAAAGCAGAATCAACGAAGCGGTCGTTCAGCGTTCGTATTATTTTCTACTACATTGAATTTAAAGAACTCAATTCACTAATGTGGTCCATCGTCTATCCATTCACAGGGAGAGCGCAAAAGAATATTATGAAAAATCTCATCACATTGAAGGTCTGATGGATTCGCTTTATCATCTCGAAAGATTCGATGAGTTAGAGCAATGCATTGATAAGTTGCCTGAGAAGAGTCCATTACTTGCGAAAATTGCCGAAATGTTGGCTTCAGTCGGTAAGCAATGCACAATATTAAAATTTTCAAACACACAAAAAACCTCCAACCCCCTCTTAGGCATGTGCACGGAAGCAGTAAAGGCGTACTTAAAAATGGGCGATCCAAAGTCGGCAGTGAATGCTTGTGTCAATCTACGACAATGGGGTGAAGCTGTGCAGCTCGCACGTAAATTTGATATGCCACAAATCGGTAACTTATTGAGTAAACATGCTGCACAACTCATAAAAGAGGATCGGCTACCAGAGGCCATCGAATTGCAAAAGAGGGCTGGACATTATTTAGAAGCTGCACGTTTGCTGGGAAAGTTGGCCCAACGTGAAACGGAGAAGGATTCAAGTATGCTACGTATTAAGAAACTTTACGTATTAGCAGCATTGCTGGCCGAAGAGCATTTGAAGACGTTGAGTACGGCCGAGCTGAGTTACAAAGTGGATAGAAACTCTTTGTTGGATACAATGAGTCCGGAGGATGCGCACGTAGTTGAACATATGTGGCATGCTGCTGAGGCCTACCATTTCATGTATGTCCTATAGAGCCTTCAAAAATATGAACCCAGTATTTATTACTAATTGATACACATTCATTCTCACAGGATGCTAGCACAACGTCAACTACGCTTTGGTATTGTACATAATGCTGTTGTAACCGCATTGCGTTTACGTGATTATGATGACATCTTACCAGCCGAAGACGTCTACAACATACTTGCATTAGCCAGCTGTGCTGATCGCTCATTTGGTAGGCATAATGGATGTGTGTATGTTATTTTTATCTTGAAATCAACAAATCTCTTCAATAGGCATCTGCTCGAAGGCCTTCACTAAACTAGAATCTTTGGAGTCAATACCAGAGCATAGGGTGCAGAAGTATCGTGAGCTTGCGGCAAGCATTTATTCCAAATATTCTTCAGAGGATACCAAAGTTGAAACGGTCAAATGTTATGCATGTAATGCACCAGTGCCGGACAGGTGAGTTGTTTTGGCTGATCTTACTGAGAGTAAGAAAGCTAATAAATTTCCTTTTCCAGTTTACCAGCCTGCACAATTTGTGGTGCTCGCTTTCCGGCTTGCGTTTCTTCGGGCAAACCTATCACACAACCCACCAGTAATATTTGGATTTGCGGCATTTGTCATCATTGTGCTGCACCCGTCGAAATCACAAGACATCATACCTGTCCACTATGTCATAGCTTGATTATTTCAATGACACTAGAAATTTAGATAAATAAAAGAGCCCTTGCTGTACTGAAGGATACTTGAGTCCTTAATGAAGAAGTAAAAAAATGTATTATTTGAAGCTCATTCAATTTATGTTAACCGTCTTGATTTTTTCCCTATAAATGTGTTATGGAGACAAGGCTTTTAAGCGCCTCCCAACTAGTGGTGATATTGATAATCTTTGCAGCAACACAGCTCGCAGTAAGTTTATTTCTCTCTCTCTCTTTCTCTTTTCATTGCAAACAATTACTCGGGTCCAGGTCTTAGTTGTATGGTGAACGATCCAAAATATCGAAGCTTACCTTATACAGGGTAAGCATTCTCGTCCTCATCTTACGCTGAACTTAGTTATGCCAAGATGATTGTTCAGGATTTTAAAAATAGTTGTAATAGTTGAGGACCACTTTTTCAACTTTTTGGATAAGTTCTAGCATGGTCAGCTCGCTGTTTCTGCCCGGCCTTTAGCATCTTTAAGGGATACCTTTCTTTGCTTAATGAGGTGTGTCACTTGTACTTAATGGTTTTCAGTGGCAAGAGTTGTACCATTTCATTCGTCTTGGCCGCAACTGATTTTATTTGCTTGACAATAATTACCTATGACCTGATGATAGTCTTATGTGTCAAAACCAACCAAGTTTCGAAAATTTTTGCCTGTTTAAAGTCCGATTCCCTTCCAACCTCACCATACACACGGCAACACCTTGCTAGCCGTGAATTCAGACTTGGAAGTACATAACCCTTGATGAGTAATTTCAGCAAATCGTGCTTTGGCTCGGCCTTTTTTTTAATAGATTCCGAACTAACATCTAAGTGATGCCTAACATCTCCGCTATCTCCTGACAACTTGCTTGCGATCTTTTTTTATCAGTTGCAAAATTAAATTGGCTTTTTTTGTGACTGATAGACCGGAATGAGGACCATGCTTGTCACTAAAATTTCATGGTGGAATCAAGCAAGCCCCTGCGGAGTCCAGCGTTCACTTACAATATTCTCACCGTAAGCCATACAAATCTTTCGTTTTCTTGGTACTGAGCATTGGAAAGTAATGTCCTCTCTATTGTTATGAACGAAAAGCAAGCAAACTCGACTAGTCGGTCATCATTCCTGTCATCCTGTATGTTCAGAAGCGTGGGTTAAGACGTTATCCGCTGGCACTCGAATATAGATTTGGCTACCGTGATAGGCGATTCAACTGACATCCGCTTCGCTTGGTAACAAATGGGCCTATTATTGTCAGTTCTGATACTTACTTACTTAGGCGCCAGTAAGAGTTTAAGCTGATTTTCTATTCGATAATTGTCTATTTGACTCTAGGAAGGTGGTGCCCCATCATAACAACAACCACGCCACTGCCTCTTAAATCTTTGAATTACCTCAATTTCGTACAGCTCAAGGCTTCCATCGTCTGCGGTACTCCCCCTCATTTGCTAAGCCTTTCTTTCGAAAGCCGATTCGGTGGCAGCAGGACAGCAGAACGGCAATAGTGAGTGACTTGTAGAGTTTGTTCATCGATAGTGTGACCGGTGGTGTTCATGGTTTTTCTTAGAGACGAAATGGTTTACGGCTTGTTTGAGGACAGGAAATATTCTCCACCTTTAGCAACATTGGCGTGTAAAATTGTACTGTTTAATATGTAACACCATCGAAACACCCGAAAGCTCTGGAAAGTTTCCACAATCTAGACGTGTACGACAAACTACACGCGAGCTGCAACGTAATCAGATTGATCGGAACCCATACTTAGAGGTATTGCCGAAAGAGCTCGAGTGCGTACTTCGACAATCTCTTTTCCACAATAACCCCAAACAAGAACGAATTTGAAAACGCAAATCTTTTGGATCACGAAGTCAATCATTCGTCCTTTTTAGAGACGATGACAATTCGGGCTGTGGAATCCGCTCTTCGATGCTCTCAATAAATATGAGCACGAGACTACCAGTCCATTGCAGCGTCTCCCAAACAGAACTTTTTCCAATCAGATAGGCCGTAAAAAAAATGCCTCTCAATGTAGGTGTCTCTCTGCCTAAGGCGAGGTATATGCTAAAACTGACATTTGACGAAAAAGCAAAGAAGCATTACATGGCTGAATGAGATCACGTGTAACGTCACCAGACAGTTTTTACCAGAATTACACGCGAAAATATCAAAAAAACTCGTTTACGCGAGGAGCATAAATCCTTGCTTAACTGTGGGCGCTGGCTAAATGCTTACCGCTATTTGAGTTATTACTATCTGGTATATATGTATGTATGAATGGCCTGCAAAAATTTGTGGAGCATATGGTCCCCTGGGTTAAGGAGTTACAAAGGTCTTGAAGGCCACAAAAAAAAAGCTTATTTTCTCTAATTTTTTAAAAGATACTAAATGAAATAAATAATTTATTTTGTTTACATATAAAAGTACAATATGTGGACAACATTTGATGAAAATTTGAATGAAAAGTAGTATAAGTTAAGGCGTTGGCAGTGTCGTGAAGTAGACCGTCCATAAGAAAGTGCTTTCGCGGTAGTCATGATAACTTTTTCAATTTTTATCTGAAATCAAAACTCCAATTTTTTTCTTTAAGTTGGTGAATTTTCCTTTTCCTTGAACTAAGAACATATTGGCTTGTAAAATGTGTTGAAATCAAAGATGAAATAAATCCTTCGTTCTAAGACTACAAAAACAGAAATTTTTACTACCGATTTCGATAAAGTTGTTTTAGGAAAAACGCGTTTAAAGTTTCGCTATCGATCAAGCCATGACACAGACTAATTTCTACAGTTTCGTCTCGATCGACTTCAAATTTGGGGAAAATATTCCTGACACTTTGTACTTTTATATAAAAAATTATGAAAAAAATTAATTTTTTGAAGTTGCGAGACTAAAAACTTATCCTTGTCACCAACTATTGGATCAACATGAGTTTCGCTACCACTATGTTGTTAGCCGATGATTGCTCGTGTTTTAACGATTACAATTAGTGAACGAAGATGCATGTGCGCAGTAAGATTTTTACTCGTATACAGAAAATGTGGGAAAAGGAAACGCAACGCAAACGCAGCGAACTCAAGTTATGAGTGACAAAATGAAGGCCAGGTATGACAAGGCAATGAACTCCGAAGGTTTCCAAAATGGAGATTTGGTGTTGCTGTACAATCCACAACGGAAGAGGGGTTTGTCCCCAAAACTTCAATGTAATTGGGAAGGTCCTTACAAGGTAATCAAAC